CTATCTGAGCATATCAAAGGGAGAAGGGAGAAGAAAGTGTTGAACATCCATATCCCAAATTAAAAATGGGGTTCCAATGATGATTGATGATTGATTCTTGATATTCATTGAGTATATTCAACACAGACCAATTCCAACCATCAAAGCTTTTCTTATCTCATAACTAGCCATGGTCAGTCAGGGATGAATATTTGATTTGACCGTCCACTTCCAAAAAAAATACTCTGATGATATCCCGAATCTTTTGATGCCTCAACCTCATTGGATAGTAATGTATACAAGGAATATTACTTTCCCAGGAAAAGTCATATATACTCTTTACAGCTCTAAATATATGGGCGTATGACAACATACCTACTACAACAGAGTATCATCAGCCATTTTGGTAATATACAGCCCTTTCTGATAACTATACAAAGTCACATATGAATAGGGGGGGGAAGAGACACTACAGAGAGCAAGACAGGGTCATTGCACGACCAACGCTCAAACGGTACCAGGGGGCCATGAGAAAATATGGGCAATGGAAAGAATGGAGCACAACAAATAGGAGGAAGAGAAGCATTGTTACTTTTGTGCTCTAAGCTTGAAGGACGAGCGAGGGCATTGGCGTTGGCGTTGGCGTTGGCGTTCTGACCATGTGAACAACAAGTGTGAAATTTTGAAAGGTGGCGATTTATCCATGTTTAAAGCTATTTTTGATTTTTGACTTTGATTTTTGACTTTGATATGATGGTTATCCTTCTTTCGGCTTGGGGGGAAGTCTTGGTGATTCGTGATTATATTGAAATAGAGATGTAGGTATCTACATAAGGACAATTGATGATTGAGTTTGCTAGGGTTTGATGTATATCTATGTACCTAGGGAGGTAGCATCAATGATCATTCATCATGTAGAGTCGAAAGTATGACAGAGGATTTCATGCAACTCAAATGCATTGAAACCTTCTCAACTTCATGCCTTGATGGGTTTACAGGAATAACGCAAATGTATCAATTCCTCTTGCTTTTACTCTGTCCTCTCTTCTTCTATCTTCTACTAGAACACAAACCCTCAGAAGAAACCCTCAGACATCATCCAAACTTTCTCCTCCTCCAGTCTACTTCAGTCTTCTGTCCCTAGCACTCGTAAATTTTGACAACCCTCAAACCCCAATTTCCCTACATACCACTAAAAGATAACTATTGGTCCGTCCAAGACCATTTCGGAAGGGTTTCACTACTCATTGAGCTACCGTAAAATTATACTGTTGGTTGGTGCCCACATCCTGAACTAAATTCGTGTGGAACTTTGCTGTGGAGCATGAGCGTGAGTTTGCTAAGATATTTTCTCTCATTTACCGACATGTGTGCACATGTGTGGTACATACTTAGCTACATAAGATCTTGGAAATGTCGTCTGATCATCGAAGGGGAAGGGATCAATCGATTTATTATTATTGTTATGATTATTATTTTTTATTGATGTGGGAGGTATTGACTACACAAGAGGTAGGTAGGTACTGGTAGGAATTGAGGAATAGAACACAGGTGAAAGAAAGATTGTATATCAAGGTCAATCTATTGTTATTTCGAGAGTGAGAGAAAGACAAAGCGACTACTACATTGACTCGAACGACAACCTTGATGCATAGGTGTAGATAGAATAAAGCTAATCATTCAGTATACCTCAAAGAAAGACTCAATTGACTTCCTCCGACTACTACTCAGATACTATACATTCGAAGACGTAACAATAACATAACGAACATTCTCTTCCTCTCAAAAATCTCACCTCATTCCATCCAAAGAGTCAGTCACACGACGATAAGGTTTTATCTCCTCCCACAACCACCAACCAACCGAGCCAACCTTATTCCACCCACCGCCCCAATTCCCTTCACCTTGGCCTCGATCTTTCTCATTCTCTCACCTGGGGTATCGGAAAATCCCATTTCTACACCCACACCACATGTTCCAAGAATCTCCTCCCAGGTTTCAACAATCTAGGAATGCCTTGCCAATTTTCCTCAAGGAGGGGTCGATTTTGATATTCTCCTAGGCGGGGGGCCTTGTCCAATCGCAAAACCACAGATGTACACCGAGGGGTAACATGACTCAGATATGAATCAACATCATTCATTCCTTCTTTCTAGCCCATACAAAGTCCCCCCAACTAACCTCTCGTTCCCCATCCTGCAAAACCTCGCACTCGCGAATGACCAAAACGTTTATCAAGGTTGTATCGGAGAGATTGGTTGAGAGTGCGGTAGATACGGTAGGTAGGAATCTTCAACACGCGGTGTGAAGACCCCTGATACGTTACAAAATTTCTTGATAGGTCAAATGTCAATCACACATGTGGTTTGGCGAAATAAGGGATAGATATCCATGCAAAAACGCACTGCCGAGAGATTCTGGCAATGTGTTGCATCATCGCACTTCAATCACTCTTTTTCGCTTGCCTGCGCTTTTGGCGATGCGATCCGCGACGAATGGGAATTGGAGATAGGAAAAGGTAGGGTGCTGGTAGGGCAGCTGATTACTCACCGCTCATGTCCTGTGAATATAGGAATAGGAGTGAGGGTTTGATTGGAGGAGGAGGATTGGATTGGATGGTTTGGGATGGTGAAATTTAAATTCATGTGGTTTTGGTTTTTGGCTGCTAATGAGATCTTTTTTTTTTCCTTTCGATTTTGCGATTGCTGCCATCTACATTGTTATTGCTTTGAAGTACAGTATTGAATTTCTGAAATTCCTTTTAAGTGAGGTTTTTATCAAGATCATTTGAATGTTGAATATGGTTGCTGTCATTGTGGTTCTCATCGCTATCCTCATTTCATAATTTATCTTTTTTGAAAACTCTCGTCTGGTGTTAATAAGACCATACTCCATGGCATTTCTGAAAGTAACACAAGTGAAATTCATTCATATTTTCAACCTATAATGATGAGATCTTTTCTGTTGGTTACTGTCATGGAGCTGTACAAGTGGACATTCTTATCAGTTCTTTTAGCATGTAGTTGCTATGGATGGAAGTGATGTTTTTTGGGGTTTATATCTTCAGACAATTTGGAATGAAGTTCTTTGGTGGACTTGAGTTGCTGTTGAGGTCTTTGATGTTCATCACTTTCACTGGTTTTCAAAGGTTTCTTTGTGATTTGTTTGCTGTATGAAGCATGTCATTTCCATCAACTCGCCTCTAGATTGTGCATGGTGTTTACCACAATTTGCTTCACCAATCCACTTCTGTAATACGTCGAACCTTTTCATTGTTCAAAGAGAGAATATTCGTCAGGGCTTCAATCCCATCATAATCTAAACAATGATATTCAAATCAACTCTTCCATCTCAAGATGGATGTTAGGAGTTCACATTCTTTTGCATTGAGACAAGGTTTACAGTCTTGATTTTTTGAGAAGTCAAGAGTTTATAGGGGAAAGAATTTGCAGTAACATTGAAGAGGAAAAAGAAATGTGAGAGTCATCCATAGATGCGTAGTGAATTTTCTTGTTGGATCTTATCAATCAATTTTCATGGCTGACTTGAAGATACTTGTTTTCTATCAAAGATTCGGGAAAACGTGCAAGGACAGTGAAGAATCTTAAAGTCAAAAGGAGTGAGATTTTGTTCTGGAATTGAGGACTCAAATAAAGCTAGCAGTTAAATTTATGTTCTTCAAATCTTGAACTGCACTGCCTGATACTGAGTTGTATACTTCAAATCCCCCCTGAGTTCACGGGAGATGGCAATGGGTTTTCTTTGATGGATATGAAAACATTGAATGGAGGTCAGCCAAATCTGCTTGGTTGTCTGTTCCAGCTTGTTCGTAGATCAACAAATAATAAACATCTTTAACCATTATCTACTTTCCTTTCAAATTACCACATACCTCAAATACCTAGAATCGTCGCTGCTTGATTCGTCATTCACTGCGCCTCCAAATATGATTCACAGTCAACAACATTCACTGTAAATATCCACCTCGTCGCCGCATAGTGGATACCTTATCATCAAACCCCGCCCTCTTGTTCCGTAAATAGAAACCCCCAGTTTGCCTATCGGAATGACCTATGTGGTTTGAAGCATGATATTCGGTTCTCTTCGACCCGGAGCCTTATCGTTTTCCCCGAGACTTTCTCTCCATCTTCTTCTTTCTACCTCGATCTCCTTCCATCCTCCATCCTCCACTCTTCCATCTCGAATTCCATTCCCAAACCTTTACTTCCATCAACCTCCTACTTGATAGCTTATTGATCTTTACAAGTTTACTTGGCTATTGATTCTTTGCGTTGCTGCGCTTACTAGCCCTTTTCTTGATATCTTCAAGACGTGAGCTGTCTTGTACTTTCAATTTTGAGATATTTCTCTTACTTCCCTTGACCTCCTTTGCTTTGATAGACCTCAGATAAGGCTTGCCATTTTGAGTCATACAGGTTTCAAAGTATCTCTTTTACAAGTAACGCTTTCATTTCTCAGAAGGAAATTCCCGAAGTACATAAACATTTGTAAGTGTTCTTCAGATATACCCTCACAAACCATCTTCTGTCACAACGTCTTCCTCTTTCTCTCAAAGAAGTCGCACTTTCTTCCATACCCCTTCTTTTATAGCTTTTAAAGATTCCCATCCTCGAACCACTTCCATAATCATTACCCCGCACTTCACTTTTGACAAATTTTCTTCGTTGTCCAGATTTAATGCTAATATCTTTCTCAGACTGTGCCAAACACAGCAGGTCCCATTTATGTGCATAACTTCGATTAGTCTTACTACATTTGCTTGATATTTCAAGCTTTTCTTGCTGGCCAATTCGAAATTCTTTGCATTGCATAGATTGAACAATTAAATACCTGTGAGTCCTTGATGAAGCTTGTTTGTTCTTCATGTTGGTCACATTGGCCATTTCCCGAGATTGACATGTGCTATACCTCCCTCCCAATGGTTTTCTATCTTCGACCACCATTGTTGTGCTGAAAAGTTTTGTTCTAACTTTTACAAGATCTTTGATACACCATTCATTATGGGTAACAAAGGTAAATCTAAAGTCAATGCCAATGAGGGTCAACATAGTGGTACACAATTATGGGTCACATATGCAACACCTACTTCGAAGAAAGGACCAATTTGGATGCAACCCCCCAAGATATTCGTCCCTGAAGTTTCTAATGAAACAAATCCATGGATCTGGCCTTCTCCGAATCAACAAAAATCACAAGGTGGAGATAAATCTGCAAAGACTGTCAAGAATGAGCCTGCAGAGACAATTAAGAATCCCATCGAGACTGCGTTTGTTTCAGGTTTCTCTTCAGACAAATTCGTTTTGAGATATTATACCAATAATTCCGTACCTGCCAGAGGATCTATTTGGGAACATCCACCTCTTCCTGGCACTACCGAATTCGAGACTCCTGCTGATCTCGATCCAGCTGCATGGACTACTGTACCCGAAAATGCAAGGTGGTCTACGCTTCCTGCCTATGCCATTAATCCGGTATTCAAATCAATTAAGGTTCCATGGTGCACTAAAAAGAGAGCAATTACACTCCTCACTATGGCAGTTCCTCTAAGTCCAAATGTTGCAGTTCCTACTAATGGGACAAGTCCGCCAGCTGCTAAGAGTCCTTGGGCTACAATACCAACTGATGTTGCATTTTCTACTCCTCCCGAACAGGAAAATCCAAAAAATGTTGTTGCAAACCATGATTGGGGTGTTAAACCTGCGGTCGTTGCTGAAAAAGATACTATTGCAGCAAATGCCTGGGACGATGTACCAGAAGTCACAGAACCAGTAGAGCCTTTCCCCAATTTGGTTCACTGGCCTTTTACGGGTCAAGAGGATAGATTCAAGAAGTTGGCTTCAGTGGTATGATATTTTATTTATTCCTTGTTCATGATGATTCTATTCTAACTATGTATTTTAGGGACCATTTGTCTTCAACTGGAGAGAAGATATCTTCAAGCATCCAAAACATAACCAAGAACAAAGTACATTAATCAGAGTACTTCAAATAGAAGGTATTGATGCTATTCTTCTCAAATATATTTGGGAAAATCATAGCAATGCTTCTGCTTTATGTCGAACGAGTCAGAAATCATGGGAAGTCTCGATGGCTATTACTGTAAGTTTTGGTTCATCTTATTGTTAATGCACTATGCACATGACTGACTGGTCCTTAAAGGGCATCTGGGATGTGTCTGGAGGTTCTTTCGAAGGCTGTGATGTACCGAGAGAGAACAATGACTCTGATGCTAGAGCAGCTTCAGTTGTTGTGATTACACCTACTAGGGATATGGAACCTATCAAATATGTTACTCAAGTCAAGAATTTGAATAAGATGTGTAAGTTTCTTTCCTCTCTCTCTCGTTCAAATTAAATCAAATCACTAATTTACTCATCAGGTATGGCAATGCACAACTTCAGCGAATTTCTCCAAAACATCCAATTACATCACGTTCCCTTCCTCACCACCCACATTCTCGCCTTAGTCATTCCTGAAATCCGCAAGCTCAAAACCCTCGGTGTCTACAACTGTGAATTAATTCATCTATTCGATGGAATCGAACTCCTTAACATCATCACGCGAGATCGTCTCCGAGGTTGCGAACACCAAGTCGATTTAGATTTCTATCCCGCGTATCATGTTGGTCCTCACCCTATCTATCAAGCAGGTGTTCAGAAAGGAAAAAGAAAATTGGGTGCACAGTATTCATATGGTGTTACTTGGGATGATCCTGGTATGCATGTTGCTGATATCAGAATTGCCATTTGGCAGGAAGTTCATAGTCTTCTTCGTCAGTCGAGAGCTCAGGGTATCGATTTTGTTTCAAAACATACAATGTTTAGACAATGGTTGGATAAGTCACCTTGTATGCTTGTGGAGGAAACTCTTCAGATCCTAATGGATGATGATGTAACGGTCGATCATGTTATTGCTCATGTTGCATATGGAGATTTTGGTGGCAGGGTTGAGAAATATCATGAGGCGTTGAAAGGAAAAGGTATTGCGAATAAAACCGAGGGCGTAAAATGGTATGTTATCACTTCTTTTCTTCAGACATCCCATCCCTCATAAATCATCAAACTAACAGCATTACTTCTCTAGGATGGCAGAAGGATTCGTATGTTGTCAATGCGAGCATCTCCTCCCGGGAGTCTGGTTCTCCTACCAAATGATCCGACAATACAAAATTGATCCCGTGGACCAACCCATCTGTCAAGCCTGCAAATTATCCCAATACCTAGACCAGGAATCCGATCACTACAAAAAAGAGAAATTCAGCATCATCAAAGCATGGTGCTGGGAGCCCATCATACCCAGTGTTCCCGGTGCTCCGAACCAAGGAGAATGGAATACCAACGATATAGGCAAATTTCTCCGCATCTTCGAGAGTGCACCTGAAGGTCGCTGGGTCAGACGATTGGCGCACATACTACAGATCAAGAGAGAACTTGATGAGAGTCGTCACGTTTTTCATGAAATCGATGAAGTGCAGAGACCGGTTAGTAAACAGGCTTTGGGTCGAAGAGGCGCGTATGGTCTTCGTGCGGCGACGGTTCAAGATAAGTTGTGGATTGAGAGTGGAAGAAAACATAGTGAATGGGATTCTTTCCGCGAAGATCGGATTAATGGTCATGGTGTACCGGCTACTTTTAGGGGTCATTGGTAATTGGCTTTGGATCTTTGATGAGGTTGATGGTGCTGGGTTTATTGCTTTGCTCTGCTTTGCTCTGCTCTGCTCTGCTCTGATCCAATCAACTTTTTTATTCATCGATGATACATTTTCGATACGAAAGTACATACATGTCCTACGTCTCAACAAGCATAGATCTTTCATCTTTGCTCCCACCATTCAATTCTCCGGTTGAACAAAAGAGTTCTTTATTCACGGCACAGAAGGGAATTACGATATCACCCCCGATGAAACTTCTCCTTCATCTGACTCCAACTTCAACAACAACGATATCGACAAAATCCACTTCTGAAATATGAATCAACAACGAAACTTGCACAACCTACCTAGCTAAGCAAGCTCTTCTCGCTAGCTGAAGCTCTTTACACGCCGAAAGTTTTTCTTCGGTTCATTTATTCATCTCATTTGTTTAACTTCTTTTCATCTTGCAAAAAGACCTGCTTTATGCAATACCGTTCGATGCGACACATTCCAATACATCATAATAAACTTCACTTCACTTCTAATTAGGTACTCCCGTTACAGCACAGATGTTAAGATCAGTCGAGATTTACATCAATCTAACTATCTATTTCCTTGGTCAGATTTTCATTTCATTTCATTTTCATTTGCTCTATTTTATTGTTTGGAAAATAGATGGATAGATAGATAGACACATACGCATGGATGGATGGAGTTCAGCATGGAGCATAGGAGGAGTTGAAATTTGCTTGCTTGCTGGTAGGGAGTTGTGGGCAATGGTTTAATCGTTTCTTTTTTATGATTTGTGGTTTGTTGGGTGGGATATTGATGAGATATTGATGGAAATTTATGGGTTGGGGGTGTTTGATAAAATGGGAGTTTGACAGGGGGTATTTTGATGAGGGAGTTCATAGAGGGAATTGGGAATTTCATGGAGATAGAGAAAGAAAAAAGAAAGAAAGAAAGAAAGAGATCAAGATGACTGGTATTAAGTTATTAGCATTCATGATTCACATCTTTCTATTTCTCTTGCCTACCTATGTACTTGTTGAAATTCTGGATGATGGGGTTGGGAAGGGGGGATGGACGATGGATGATTAGATAGTTTTCACTTCTTTTTGATTTCTCTCTCCAGGGCAGATGCATTCAATCTGATTTATTTCTTTGACTTTATAGATGCATATGCTGCGTTGTGTTGCGGTGCATTGAATAGAATGAATTGAATTGAATTATTGTTCGATTATTGAAGATGGGGTTTGTGCGTTTGCTTGCATGCTTGCTTGGTGATGTGATGTGATGAGATGTGACGTGATACATGTATTATAAACTTTAGGTATTGACAACCTACGTAGCTGCTTACATACCTACCTACCTACCTACCTACCTACCTTATCCGCACCGTAGCCGTAAAGTAAAAACCCTCTATAAAACTCGAAGCGAGATACCACATCTTCCAGGACCCTTCGATCCAGTCAATACATCTCGCGAGCTCAGCGTGAGGCGAGTCCACGATGATAATCATATCGGGATGTTTTGTCTCCCTGCATCCTTTCTACTTGAATATTTGGTAACATCCTATTTCATTCATCAGAACCCCGTGATCCTCCCCCTCTCGCTTTGGTCCCAGATCTTTGCGCACTCGCCATCATACTTGTCCCTCTAATTCTGCTTTCCCTCGACTTTTCCCTTCCCCTCCTTCCCTCCTTCCCGTGGTCTAGCCCGAGTATATCGATCTCGTCCTTCGAACTTATATTACCTAGGAACATTTTACTTAGGCATTCAAGAAAAACATCATCAACATCATCAACATCATCAACATCTCTAACTCAAACCCCCTTTCCCCTTTCCCTGTAAACACTCTCTTTCATTTCCCCAAGCATTCTCATACAAGTAAACTTCTCACTTATCTCAAATCCAATCCTGCTTATCCATCTTCTCATTCTTAACTCCCCTGTTTTTCTCTCAAACGAAACCCCACACCATCAACTTCTCATCCTCATGCAATTCAATATCCTCAGCAGCAGGCATAGTACCCCCCCCCCCCTGGCCCAAATTTATCCCACCCCAATCCATCATATCAAATCATCAATCTACTCTGCCCGTCGCCATTTCCCCTCACCTTCTCGCTCCTTAAAATTCTTTATGGAACATTATCATCTAAATAAAAGAACGCAACCCATTTCGAATGCATCTTTCACCCTCTCATACCACATCCAAAGGTCCAGCATCAATTCTTCATCTCTCTTCTTCATCTCTCTTTTCCCTCCACCCACACCCCCTAATCCCCCCAACAGAAAGCATCATCCAACCCTCTCATCATCACCAAAAACTCATTTCCAATACTCATACCACAAAATCATTGATCTCCTCCCATCCCATCAAATCGTATCACAAACCACCAACCAACCCACAATAAATGTTCGAAATATACTATCTCTTTCTACCCTCCATCTTTATTCTCTATTCTCCTCATTTTCTTTTTCTTTTTCTTCCCCTGCATCTTCACGACCTCTTCATCTCTCTCTCATATCTCGATATCCTCTTCTCTCTTCCATCACCCTTTTCTTCTTACTTACTCACTCACTCACTCACTCACTCACCCACTCACCCACTCACCCATCCATTCCTTCTCCCTACTCCTTACTCACCCCTCCGTCCCCACACTCCCCCCTCGCCCCTCCCAAAGTTCTATACCCATCACCAAACAATCTCCCCCCAAAGAAACCCACCTCTACCCAGCTCACATCATCGACTACCTCAACACAATTAAAGTACCTCCCTAGGTAATCTCACATAGTAGGTAATCAGTATGGTGGATTGCAATATTTCAGATGCGTCGTATCAATTGGCTCACCAACCTTACATAATCGAAATATTTCAGATCCATCGAATCTATTGGCCAGATTATGTAATTGAATATTTATCTAGATACTCTCGAGGTATTTACCTAGTGGAATAATTCTTCAATGCGCTCTTACACCATAACCACCATGACCACCATATTCTCTATATATTCACGAGCCAAATCACCATCATCGATCACATCCTCCAAATTTCAACCACAGTACGATCTTCCAAGCATTGAATCAGAAATCTCATAACCTGAACCTTGTAGGATACCACCTATCAAACTACCCAAATGATATAAACGTAGAAGCAAAAAAAACAAGAACTCAATGTCTCAGTATCTCGTGGAAATTAAAACACATTATACAAATTCCTTCACATTCCCATGGTATCTCAATTGACCGTCGCTCCTCCCTACCCATTCTTGTCCATGTTTCCTTCTCGCCGGTCCATTTTCTGGCCGGCCCAATCCATGAAACAAATTGATTCCAAAATCATGGTCTTCTTTGCCTTCCGGTAACCACAAACAATCACCCCATGCAATAATAATCAAATCACCAACTCCTACCCAAAATCCACAACAATATTTACGCAAATCTCGGTGCCGAAGTAGCTCTCAAAGGTAATTGTCGATCCAAAGATTTGAAAGCCAAAGTTCTTGGTGTAAATGGTTGTTTAGAAAGATCCATACTTTGTTGCATATTCTGCATTTCCCATTGCCTCTCTGAATCCGGAGAATCTGTTGTCTTTACTCTCTTGCCTGCTTTGGCTGATGTTTCGATATTATCTTCGAGATCGAGTGCATTGACTGAACGTTCCAGGCGTGAAGGAATTAGAGAATGGATACCGAGAATTGTGTTGGCGAGGAATACGATCCTATTGATTTGTAAGTTTTGGATTCATAGTAAATAGAATTAGAGAAATAATGACATACATCATAAATACCGTAACAGCAAAAGTTCCCTTTGCCATTTGACAATAATGTTCATTTCCACTAGGTGCAGCATATGAACAACTCTTTGCAATATACCAAGCCACATTACTTGGATGATCTGGATCCGTGTGATCTGGTCCGGCTTGTCCATATATACTGACAATCCAGCAGACTGTGAGAAGTCCATTGATAATAGTCGAGAGAAGAGGAAACCAAATATGCATAATGAACATGACAACTTTGCAAAGTTGGATGAACATAGTTAGAACCGAGATTCCAATATTGAAATTTTGTAGTCTATTCAAAAAGTACGAAATCAGCTTGGATTATTCTCAAGATACTCTCTCATCCCAACCATTCTCCGACGAAAGGAATAAAACTCACGTCTGACTCCAAACAAAAGCAATCTTTGGCAATGGACGATAATTCGCATACGCATATAGGACCTCATCCGGACTACTATTAAATCCATTATCGTAACCAATTTGCCATAAAATCGTTCGATATAAATCTGGATCTGCGATACCGAACATGACGAGTGCTGCGACGGTTCCCGCAAGTTCGATTACATTAAGCCAGATGATAGCCTTGGGAAACTTCCATTTCCGCTTCATGATAGGTGAAGAGAAAAATCCGAAAACCATGATGAATGTATGGAATTTTGTGGATTGATCGGGAGATGAGGTATAGGGTTATCGTAATGCGAGAATATGCTGGATAGATAAATATACTTCGTTCGATATTTGCGTTCAATATTTGCGAAATAATATATGAGTCAATCGCCAGCGATCCAATAATGTGTTTATGATACACACGGTCGATATCGGACAGGCATCGAAAGATGGAGAAATCAGGACGACGTCTCTTCAAGTTCCAAGAGGATAGAAATCTTCATTAACAAGCTTACGAACGGCTGGCCATCCATGATTTATTAATATAACGGAAAGGCACATTTTAGATGGTGGGTGTACAAGGGAGGTATGAAGGAGGGGTGAAAAGAATGCAATCTTCCAATGAGAAATTATACAGAAGAGCTGATTTAAGCGCTGAGCCTGCATGTCGATGTGAAAGGTTGAGTGAGGTATTGAGCATGGAACCAATGAAAGTGCGGGGATGAAGCTTTTGGGGGGTGAAGAGTAAGAACTAGGTGGAATGAGGAAATGGTGAGAAAATGATATCGATGGCGCTTGGGAATGAGATGATTTGAGTGGTTACGGGTAGTAAATACCCTGTGTGACTGTGAACTAAATAGCCGGAGCTAATTGGAATGCACGGCCTGGAAATCTTATCTTTAGAGTGATTTATTGAAAATCTTGAGACTGATTGAGAGGAATGCCGGATGGACTAAAGGCTCTTGTTATATAGAGTAAATTTGGAATTGGATAGTTATCCGTTTTGGGGGGTTTAGTTATAATTGGTGCATCTAATTCATAGCCGAGGAGATACTGTACAGCATCTGGAATGCCCATGAATACTTTCAATCATTACAGAGTATCTGATAGTCCAAACTACGTACAGTCCAAGAACATAAGATTTTGGATATCTAAAAGCAATGATTGTTCTGATTGGTTTAGAGATTTGTGAATCTTCAGTATTGGGTTGTACTTCGACTATTAGACACCCTGATCCTCGCTTCATCTTCATCAATTCCTGAAGAATCACCACGATGTGCATAAATAAGCTGACGAGTATCCAGCACTTCCAGGTTCCCGAGGTCCGCAAAGAATATGATCGAATCTCAGCTCAACTATAAATACATTCACCCATACTAGTAACTCATTCTCTCCCTACCTACTACCTATTCAAATCATAGCAAAGCGATATTAGCGAAGGGAAGACATTCCGGAATCAATCTTTATAGCCGAGTTACACACAAACCTCAATGAAGTATCTCACTACCTTATTCTCTTCTTTATATACTCTCATTTGTCTCATGTACACAACACATCATCATCCCGTGAATGTCCCAAAATATCAATATCAATGCCTTTCCATTAACCCCCCAATTCCCATCCCCGTGCCATGTAATCCAAGCATCATCAAAACAAAACACACACAAAAAGAATACTCAAACACAACAACAAATTCTAGCAACATGCTAACTTGAATTTTCTAGACTAAAGCTACAAAAGTAGACCTCAATGCATTTGATCAGAGAAAGGATTCCTGATACATCAACCCGGCCTCGTCTCTGGTCTCGAGCTCAGTCATCCAGACATATTACCAACCGAGATGAGATGAGATGAGATGTTGGTAGTCAATTTACCTTTGACATGTACAAATATTAATAAAAGCCCATTACAATCATCATCCCAACACTCAAGTATCTCTTTCTCTCTCTCTCTTTCCTTCCCTTTCTCCCACACATACCCACACGAAACTCTTCCATCGCCCCGAAATCCCCACCTGCACCCTCCACTACACGCAAACACCGCATCAAAACCTCTCCCAGCCCGGCATCTCCACCCCCTGGACCATCTACCTCCAATCACCCAGCTCCTGGTACACCATCTCATTCCACCAGCAAGCGATTCTCGAATCACGACTCTCCTCCTCCTCCATCTCGAAATTCTCCCGACGCGAACTCTACGATTTTCAACTCCGGAAACTGGATATCCCGCCGGAGATCTATGAGCACTGTCCCGATTCAGATGATGGAGAAGCAAAGGTGACGAGGAGAGTAAAGGAATTTGGGGTCGTGAGGGAAAGTATTCGGATGAGGAGATTGTTGAGGGAGTTTGGGGAGTGGGTGAAGGGGGGAAGTTCCGGTTGATGAGGTATGTTTTTTTGTTACTGCCGTGTGGTGTGAGATGATGATGATGATGATGCTGTTATGATACAATATCTATAGACTATTCATCTCAAAGGGACCCCCCCATTTAGAAAATATAAACTCCAAGTTTCCTTCACCTCACCTCACCTACTAATATAAACTCATCAACCATAGTTATTTCTCCCCCCGTTCTTCCTCCTCTGGCTCGAGAATCTCAATCTCAAAGCCCCCAAAACCAAAACCAAGAAATCCACATTAAAATCTACTTTCAGCTCCAACCCCAAACCACCAACTCCTCCCGAACACCCCCTCTCTTCCAACCCCAACTTCGAAATCCACCTCCAAGCCACCAAACCCCAACCCAGCAACTCCCAAGAATCCTAGATCTAGACCTCAAACCATACCCTCCTAAAACGAACCAACCATTCCGGCCCCAACAAATTCAGTCTCTATCTAATCCCCAATCCCAATCCCAATCCCTCCTCCTCTCCCCCCCCTCAAAATCCCCCATCCTCTTCTCCTGGGCCCACAACTCCCTCATCACAAAAGACAACATTCTCTACACCCGTGGCAAATATCTCACATTCTCCCCTCTCCCTACTTCACAACACTCTTCCCCCAATCCATCTGCACCCGCTCCCGTCAAATTCCCTAATCCCCAGTCCCCACTTCGCCGCTAGTATCAATCATTCTGAATACATTTCTCAATCAACCCGCGATCCCATGCGAATGGTGGGAGGAAAACATCACCATTCTGGAAGATGGAGTTTTGTGGCGGGAACATGTGGATTTGTATGAGAGTTCAAAGGAGAAGGGTGATCCGGTATGTTTTTTTTCTCTCCTTTTCTTTTCTTTCCTTTCTTTCTCCGGTCCTTATTTCTTTTCCAATATTTCCGTTTCTATCCACATCTCAACTAACACTCGCCATCACAGCACTTCACACCCTCCACCTTTCTCGCCCAAATCTTCCAGACAATGAATACGAGTATTCCGCCCTCCAAAAAGCGAGGTAACAAGAACATACCCCCCAACACCAACACCAACACCGACAACCCCTCCCCCATCAACATCCCCGAGCTCTACGAGCGCGGCCGCCAAGATCTCGCGCGTTCAAAACGTCACATGTATTGTTTGAGAGAATTAGCATTATCCTCCTCCTCAACCCCCCACCCCCAAGATGTCACTCCCTCCCCACAAAAACCAGAACCGAACTCAGTACCAGAATTCTCAGAAGCCCAAACAAAAAGTATAAAACCCTCAGAGACTCCTCCTAGTCCTAGAGAAGAACTAACCACGAAAGTTTTGAACTCCGATCGCAATCCCGCGGTCCTCCCCATTCTAGGTTGAGATCCAATTCCACCTCCACATCCCCACCCGAAATAAAAAGAACCCTTCCACACCCCCCCCCCCATCCCTCTCCTCTTCCCAACAATCTCCGCCCCAAACTCCACTCCACTCCACTCTCCCCGTACTCATTCCGTGCCTCCTCCCCCTCCACCCTCACGATCAAGCACCTCCAATCCCAATCCCAATCCCAATCTAACCACCAATCTCAAACAACGCCAGAACTCTCTAGAGAGAAGTGAATCCAAACTCAACCCCAACCCCCACCCCAAATCCACCCCTACCTCTAAATCTAAACACTCTCGCGATGCTTCAAACGCGCACCGCCAAACGCGGGATCTATTCAATGAACCGTTAGCTTCGTATGCGGGCTGATGGAAGAATGGAAAAAGGGAAAAGGGACGTGGATGAATGGAGGAATTTGTATATCTAGGTATTGATCGTTAATGATTTGTTCTAATAAAACCCCGTAATGTGAAAAATAAAAATAAAAATAATAACAATTGGATCTCCATTCAAATCAACAAATACCTCGACACACATATAATCAAGGCACTAAACACTGAATACCATCATTTTGATTTGATATAAAAAAGAATTATCATTTCATACTACACCCACAAGCATCAAATCATTTTCAAATACACGCACAAAGAACCTTCCATCCCATGCTCGACCAACTCATATCGATCCATTTCAGATAATATCTGATCCGGTTCAGTTGGTCAGCTAGTTCCTATCCGATATATCATATATATCGCCCTACATCGCTATTGGGCAATATATGCTCATTTGCATTGCATTAGGTATAAACCCCATCCCATCCCCATTCTTTAACATTCCCCAAATTTCGCCTGCGGTAGATACTGTAGACCCATTCGTCCAGAAAAATCCCCAATCACAATTCCCAACCCAACCCCAAAGGCCAGCCATATTTGATTTCCCACCCTACACCATTCGCAATCCATACGTATTCCATACGCAAACCATCCCTACCATCCATCCATTCCATTCCATAGAACTCCAACAGCAATAAACTCCGTCGCTTGAAACATAATATTTAAAATACCCAAAGCCTTGAATAGCTCTCGAAAAGTCATTAATAACTCAAATCCACATCTCCCATTCCTGCAACGATTTTATCTTCCTCAGACATAGTACCTTCGCTCCCCGTCGCACTTGCACTTGTACCTGTTCGTCTCCTCGGTTCTTCTTGATCAGCAAGTTGTAGTTGTAATTGGATTCCACTTGCAGATGCGCCTCCATCTCGCATTTCTTGAAAACTCCAACTTGGTTCAAAGTCATTACTATTCCAAGCATGTTCGACTCGTTCATATAACTCATCGATCTGCTCAAGGCTGATTTTGCTTGTTTCGTATACCATTCCCCATACGAATGCAAACGCAATTACACAAAAGCAAGCCCAAAGAAAAAATATCTTTGCTTGAAGATTTGCATAACCAGGTCCGCTGCTAGTCATATATGGAACGCTGTAAGCGATGGCGAAATTGAGAAGCCAATTGGAAGCGGTGGAGATGGACATGGACTTGGCTCGAACCTTCAATGGGAAGATTTCTGATGTGACGACCCAAACAACTGGTCCCCAGGATGAAGCAAAAAAGAAGATGAATAAGCAAACGAATACAATAATGACTAGATTCACTGCTCTCGCTTCTTCGTGCGCTGCAGTTCCCACCGATGCAATCAAGAAATGACAAACTGCCATTCCTGCTGCACCTAGCATAAGAAGACGGCGACGACCTAATGATTCGACTAGAAACATTCCAGGAATGGTTGAGACAGTGTTGACTATGTTTGAAATAAGTTGAATTACGTAAGGTGACGAAATTCCGACATTCTTGAAGAAAGTCGTACCACTATAATAGCTAGTCGTCAGTCACTGCATATTTTCAAAGAGAGCACACGATACCACGCAGAGTAACGTTAATAATACTCACTAGTAGAAGATAAAGTTCTATTCAAATTATTAGTAATTTAATTTATCACTGGAAAGAATGTACTTACACATCCAGTCAACTGCTGAAGCATTTGTAGAACACAACCGGTTAGAAGTCGACGACCTAGATGCGGCGAGCCTAAGAAAATATCTTTATATGATGAAGAACCTAGACTCAATTCATATTCATGGTTCGCTTCAATTTCCGCCAATTCTTCTATCAAAGCAGGATGGGTTATGTCAAGGCGACGAAGGCGACTCAAAGATGAAGCAGCGGCCTGATGTTGACCACGTTTGATGAGATATCGAGGTGTTTCGGGTAATAAAACAAGGCCAAGGAAGAGAATGCCGGCCCAAACGAATTGTATTGCGAGAGGAATTCGAAAAGCCTTTGGCCCATCAATACTTTGGGTAAATATGTTGACGACGGCGGCGAGAAGAAGTCCACAAGTGATGGCGAGTTGATATGTGCACACAAGAGTTCCGCGAATCCATTTCGGTGACATCTCTGATTGATACAGAGGGACGAGAACAGATATAATTCCAACGCCTAGGCCCGCAAAGAATCTATAGAATTGTCAGTCTTCTTTGTATGAGATGTTCGAAACATTGTTATCTACCGTCCAGCTATCAGCATCGGGATCTGCATTGCAGCAGTCTGCAGTGCCACCCCAATGCAAAATATACCAACCGAAATGATGAGAGATATCCGTCGACCAATTTTATCACCCATGGGCGCAGCGAGTAATGCCCCGAAGAATGTCCCGGCACTCAAGATGGCAACGATTTGAGCGGATTGACTAGGCGATATGGATAATTCTTTGTCGGAAGGATCAAGGTAGCCAGTTGAGAATTGTTGGCGAAAGGCACGCATTGCCACTACCCCAGAAATCGTCCTTTGAATCCCATAGATCAGCTTTCATCGAGTCTCGAATTGTTTTCCCGCGCCAGTTACTCACCCAGTATCATAACCAAACAAGAGACCTCCTGTCGCGACGAACAACCCTATCATGATGGCCGGCGCCGATGAGCCGGCAACATTATCGGGCTTGTGCCAGGTCATGGCTATTACCATGGTGTAATAGAATTGGTCGACAGGTTGGCGTGGTGAATTAATGAAGGCTGGAGGATGTGAGGATGTGAGGATGGATTTGAAGTAAGTCGAGATCGATAATGATCACCGGATTTTCGTGGATAGAAATTGGCATGCCCATTGGACGATGAATAATCTCCCGCAAATAGCCAAGCTGAGAAGCATTCCCTTGTCCAGTATAATTCAGCACGTGGTTGAAAGATCGAGAATAGTAATGGAGAGGCAGGGCGCGCGCACGAGATAGAGAGCGGGAGGGAGGGGGATGGTCTGAAAGGTGAATGAATGGGATCGGGGTCGTCTCTAAAAGACTGCTGACAGTGAATGAAGATGGATGTTCGACCTAGAATTTAGGGTGTTGGGGGGAAAAGGGATTCGTCTTTTTCTTGGGGAAGTAATTGGAAGGAATCGAATGACAAGAACGACTGGGATTATGATTCGGTTTGCGAGAAAGTGAAGGGGGGGGAAGAAATGAGTGTGACCCCAGCAGGCCAGCCTTTTACGGAACGAAATAATAGCGGTTTTAGCTCTTTTTTGTTTTTTTTTGTTTTTCAAGATGAATGGGAAAGCTGAATGAAGTGTGATAGGATAGATGGATGGTGGTGGATGGTGGATGGTGGATGGTGGATGGTGGTAGGTAATGCATGTACAGAGTAGTCACTAATAAATGGTAAGTGCAAAAGAGTTTCCAAGTGTGTGCCACCCTAGAAAGAAATGGGTTACTCTGTTTTATTTTTTTCCGTCTTTATTTTTCACCTGTCACAATTCAGGCTTCAAAATAACTCAGAATTGTAAGGGAGGGAGGGAAAGAAAGGGGAGGGAAAGAAAGGGTTGGAAAAGTAAAAGTCCCAAGTCTCTAGGAGGGCAAGTTACCTACCTAGTATTAAAATCAAAGTTAAAGTTGAACTAGAATTAGAATTCAAACCAGAACCCGAGCCATAAGTTAAGAGTCACAAGTGCGGAGAGAGGGTCCTGTAAAAAGAGTGAAGGGTGAAAATGAAAGAGTATATTGTGAGTGTGTTATGAGTGAAGGTTGGGTAAGAAAAGTCCCAAAGAAAATGGTAAAAAGAAATAATTAAAACTGATGCTAATACTAATAATCCCAATGCGAATCCTGACACTGACACTGACATTGATAGACACCCAGACAGTGATAATGATAATAGCGAATATCTCGGTCGCATTAAATTGAGTGAAGTTTACCCATCACTCACTACCTAGGTAGGTCGGCACTCGGGACTCGGATAGCAAGGTTTACTAAGTTACTCGGTGCCTAGATATTATATTCGAGCCATTCGTGAGCCCCTTCCCTCGAGCTTACCTAGTGGTAGTAAGATCTTACATACCTAGTCGTGACATTCAAAAGAAAATATAAGGAATTTTTAACGATTGGTCTAGATTTATTTTAATGACTGGATATTATGGTGGACCATTGAGATGAATTGAATATAATAAGTTATAGTAAGTCTACAAAGTATTAGCACGTAGATACTGTATGTAGATAATCTCTTTCGCTTTCGCTAGACATGAAAAAGCTTATTGTTTCATTTCCCCTCACAAAGTATTCATCCCTACTCCATCTGCATCAACAATCAATCATAATACATCGACATACTAAATATAACTATACTTATATACTTCTCACACTTCGCACACTTCGCACAACCCAATTCTCTCTTTTTTATTTCCTCTCTTCTCCTCTCCCCTCTACCAAAATCCATCGTGGAAACCTCAATATATAACCAATCAAACACTCATGTTCTCAATACAACGTTACGTTTACCATAACTCCGCGAATGTATCAATTTCATCGGGGCTGATTTTCTAGGCTTTTATGAATAGCACAACCCATCTCATCTCATTCATCTCTTCTCTTCTCTTGCCTGCCTTCTCGTTTCATTTCTCGGTCACCGATAGTCATTTCCTTCTCTCTCATTGGTTTCTCGGATCCGACGATGGTGACATTTCTACCTAGGTAGTATCGGGATTTCCAAGTAGACTTAATTATACTCGTATAAGAGAAGTAAGAACGTAATTAGATCTCGTCATGTAAGAAATGGTATCCTTTAAGCTAACTCCGATCTTTTCTTCAACATCGTTTTCTTTGATGAATAGGTAAACCTGCGTGAAAATCTCTAATTTTGTACTGTTTATATGGTTGTATGATGAATACCTATTGACCTTTTTCATGCGGCTCAAGAGTCATTCACCTAGCATGTCTCAATTCCCATGACTTCTTTTACCTCACCCCACCACACTATTTTAACAAACAAACATACAATCCGATCATCAAATCACCATATCATTCCAGTACCTCATCTAAATGTTTAAAGAGAAAAAAGCACACAGAAGCTAAACCCCCTATTTTCTCCCTCCGAAATCTCTCATTTGGGTAACATACAAATACACACACATACATACCCATTCACCAAATACAAATCCATCAGCTCAGCCCAATCACCATACCTCGACATACCAAGACCACATGTATATATATATATGTAGTAAGACGGCTTTCCACTCTTCCTCTGCGTGCGTTACACATACAATCTCAAGATAGATAGGTAGATATGTAGGCGGGCAAATTTATCAACTCCACCCTGTTACCTTCCTAGCCTTTCAACTTGGCGTGGATAGACTTCTTAATACGATGATGTATGAATGAATAGATGGATAGGTGCATATACTAGGTATGCATGCACCTACGAAAGCTGTGCTGCTGTAGTGTAACTTGAGTTATGGAAACAAAGTATATGGGATTTTGATTGGGATTTCTTCTTTAGAATGTTTGCTTGGGATATACGGGATTTTGAGGGTTATCAGTTCCTGTATTGTGATTGATGACTGCTTTTTCCCCAAAATAAATTAAAGGTCTATTGTTGCATTGTGATGAGAATACTGGGTGTGTATTTATCGATGGACTTGATTGATATTCTTTCTTGGTTTCACTTTGCTCGTAGCTGCATACACTCAAGTCGAAGCATATCAACGGGTTTTCAATCTACCGAGTCGTTGCAATATATACTGAGCTTGGCGTTTCTATCTACTTACTTTACATATATACAAATATTCAAACCACCTATTGCAACCATCTCTATCTTCAACCCCTCCATCCGCACCCTATAATATCGATCTCACAGAAAAACAAAGCACAATTTCCCCATCCCCATCCCCATCCCCATCCTCATCCTCATTACCTCACCCACCTCCAAATCCCCCAACCACACTCCTTCCCAACCCTCTGGATCTCATTACCCCTCTCAACACCACCAACATCAATACCAACATTAACACCACCTCCAAATGCGTATTTGCTACAGCCCAATAACCTTCTCTTTCTCCTCGTACATAATGCACAATATAGAAGAAAGTATACAATATACATCAACAAGAAGTACATATGCACTTAAATCACACTGTCGCTAACAACACACAAGCTACGAGCGAGTTAAACTTCATATAGGAAAGGAGAATAATGCAAGATTCACTCTACCTGCCTTCCCACATGATATTATATCATCTCTTCACACCTACCAATTTCCACTTTCCACTTTCTGTTCTTCATCTCCCAAGAATCACCAACTTGTATCAATTTCCTCCTCTGTAATCCAGACTTCGATTTCCATCCCAGTAGTGAATTTATACATAGTAGATCTCTCGAATATATTTATATTCATATCCATGTACATAGGTACCCAAGCCCATACCCCAAAATCCACAACACCCAATATCCAACTTCCAAAGTCCCACCACAACCTCACCTCACCTCACTTCTAAATCCTGATTCCTGATAGACAGATGTCATGTGGTATAACACGATATATAGTATCCACATTACAAAGTCCAGCCGCCTATCCCTCACATCTCTCTCTCTCTCTCTCTCATACCCGTTCATCCATACGTAGACCTCCCTCCCCATTTCGCACCTCTCTATCATAGCACATCGCTTGTACATCCCATCCCATCCCATCCCATCCCATCCAACCCCCAGAATCCAAGCTCCAGACCAATGAACCATTCCAAAGCCATCACAATAACCATCTATTCATTACATATATCCCATCCCATCCAATCCATCCATCCCATCCCCCAAACCCACCCACCATTTTTCACCTATCCATCCATACCAATAATCCCAACCTACTTCGAAAACCCTCACTACATCATACATCATACATCACACAATCTACCCAGTAACCCCCCTCTCACCACATCTCAACTCAATCTCCAAATTCAATCTCCAAATTCCCCTTTTCTACCCCCTACCTACCTACCTACCTATCTTCCTTCCCAATCCCCCAAAATCTCCAATATCCAAAATCGCGGGGTACATAATCCGGGGTACATATTTCTCCACACTCCAATCCAAATCCATCCAAATCCATCCACCACCATACTCCAACCCAATTCCACTCACCAATTTCTCCACAACCCACTGCAATTCCAACCCAACCCCCTCATTCCCCTTCCTCATCCCCAATTCCACCTACATACACCCCATAATCCATATTCCGTACTGCATACTCCCATCCACTTTCCCCTTTCCGCTTCCCACTTCCAACCCCATACCTCGAGCTAATCGGTCCTTTAGACCTTACCTAATACCTACCTAGTCATTAATACATCATTTGCATGTGTGCATACATTCGAGTGGATCGCTCTCGGGCTTTCGTTGTAAATGCAGATGAATTAATTGGGGTGATTACTTACTGATTTCTTTACAAGGTCAGGCAAGAGTGGAGTGAGTGTTAAAGCTTTAAAGTCACGAGTTGATTCAGAAGCTAGCAATCACAGGAATACAATATGCAAATACCCAACGAAACGTAAACTATCCAATCAGATTAGAAATATCATCTCATCTCATCTTGTCTTTATATCAATAATACAATACAATTTCTTAAATGAGAATAATGATCCATCTTATCATGAAGCCAAAACCTAAGCCAAAACCCCATATCTCCATTCACCGTAATACATCCCATAACAAGTCATTTCCTCAAGTCTCAAGTCTCAACCCTATTCAACTGAACTCATAGTTCCAAAGTAGGTGTGACACCCTTAACTCTTCCAATAACCTGACTGGCAGCATACTTCGGAATGACTTCATCATCATGAAGCATCTCAAATTCCTCAGTAGCATCTCTACCCATGAAGTTCATGAGAGCTTGTGGTCCACCTGGATGTTCATCTAACCAATCCGATACATCCATAACGACACCCTTAACCACAACCCATAAATCTTCTTTCTTGTTATGTTTGGCTACTTCATCCATTGTAAATTCCTTTTCTGGAATCTTGAATTCGGATGGTTTAGTTGGCTTGCTAACTTTCCCTGGATCAGAGGAGTCTGCTCCATTTTTCATGACTGGACCAGCTGATGTTTGGGATTGTTGAGCTACTTTGTCGCCACTACCAGAAGATTGGCTATCCCACTCAACGGAGATCTTGCCAGGTTGTGATGGATCAATGTGAAGGGAAATTTGACCAAGACGTGATGCAGGACCAAGATTACCCTTGAGAGCATTTTGGAAAAGGTAATTGCTAGCAGAATCACCTGCGACACGTCCGTAGACAACACAACCAAGTAAAGATGATCCACCAAGACGATTGGCACCATGAACACCTCCTGCCAATTCACCACAGGCATAAAGACCTTCAAATGGTTTGCCTTCTTGGTTAAGAATTTGTGCATCTGCGTTAATCTCGATACCACCCATGGTGAAATGAAGAACAGGCTCCATAACAGCAACGTGGAAGTCATCATCGATATCAAGAGGTCCATTGTGGAAAAACTTCTTGCCATATGGATCCTTCTCTTTACCTTCGGCAATTTTGTTGTATTTCTTGAAGGTTCCTTGAAGATGATCTGGTGTACAACCAATCTCCTTTGCCAATTCCTTACCAGTCATCTTCTTCATGAGACCACGACCAGAGTAATGACGAGTGTGGAAGTCAAGGACATTTGATGCCTTGGAGTTAAGAATGAGACGAACTGGGAATTTCCCCTTGTCCTTTTCTTTCCACATTTCACCAGAGACGTAATCTCTGTGACCAAGTTCGTCACAGAAACGATCACCATCACCATTCAATAGAAGACCTCCCTCTCCACGAAGGGCCTCAGCGGCCAAGAACTTCCACTTAGATCCAGGATCCTTAGGGTCAACAAGCCCAGTTGGATGTACCTGAACTTTGTCCATATCGATTCCATTACCACCAATGGCCATAACCATCTTTTGACCATCACCAGTAGCGTGGACACCGTTGGTAGATGCCAAGTCATATGTATCAGGTCTGTGTTTTTTGAGTAGAGATGTTTCTGTGAAATCGGCGGCGTAACCACCAGTGGCCAAAATAACTGGACCTTCAACAAATGAAGGTTCTCCGCCGAATTCATAATTGACACCGCTAATCTTGTTTCCTTCCTTTTTCAGTCCTGTAACTCGTGCCTTCTTGATAATTTGTACACGTTCGGGTTCGGTTTCCGCGAGCTCCTCTAGCCTTTGCATTAAAGCATACGTAATGGCCATGCCGGGGAATTTCGCATCGTGTCCACGGTGAGTTCTTGGCTGTGAGTGACCACTGAGTCAATTAGTAAATGTTTGAGCAGTTAATGTTTATGTAGTCTTTGCTTGCCCTAATCGTGATACGAGAGTCAAATCTAATCCGAATACATCTTGAAGCCATTCAACAGCGGCAGCAGACTTGTATGTCAAAACCTTGATCAAATCCGGTCTTGCCTTATCTCTTGCCGATTTCAGTGTGTCATCATAGAATTGCTTTACACTGTCTTGAATCTTTTGATCGACTTGAGTTCGAGTAAGTGCTCCATTAATACCGGAGGTAGCCTCTATTTACACATTAGCAAACTATTTGCGAATCAAGAACTGTTTAACTTACTTGTCGAGTTTCCACCAAAGAAGGCTATGTGTAGCAGTCAGCATCCGTTTGATGATCAAACATGGAAGAGTGGCGCAAAGCGTCTTCCAGCAATGCAGACCGATCTTTGGTCGAAAGTGATGTGAAGTGTATCAAACACTATCGCGAGTTAAACTTACCTTGTTTATCTAGAACAACGACGTTGCCACCAGCCAGGTAAATGGTATGTGCAGCACTCAAGCCAGACACTAAAGTCAATATTAGCTTCAATACACTTTTGAGGGACAAAGGTAATCAAACATACGCCCACCGCCAACGACAATTACTCTAGGTGCCATTTTAACTAGAATTGTATGTAGAGAAGATGATGAGAGGGTAACAAAAGTCTTGAGAAAGAGAGTTTAGAGGATAAATAATGGAAAGGGTCTTAGAGAATGGGTTGTTGGGGGTTTTGTGTTAAATGTAATAGCACTCTCGTCTCTCCGCTGGAATGGGTGCCGAGGCATTACGGGTCTAAGTTTTAGCTTGGAGCTAAGGTGCTAAGCAAGAAAAGTAAGTTTCTGATTCGCTCGTATACTCTCAAATATTTACGTCAGCACACGGAACTGGGGAAAAATTATGGGGATTGGACAGTCGAAATTTCCGGAAACGGTGTTGATACAATCATTTGATGGGGTTCAATATAGTTTGAGCTTGAAGTTGTCCAATAGAGTCCGAAGTCAAAAATGAAAGCAGGAACATAATGTTAGGACCTTTAGATAGACGTATTCGTTCTCATAACGTTCGTGACACTCGGATACTTAGACATTGTTTGAAATCAGCCTGTAACGATATCACGAGTCAGAATAACAATAATACAAAGAGAAGAGGCGGGTATTGAGCATGTGAAAGCCGGTAGGAGCTAAGCCCCACAAAATCAATGTTAAGGTTACTCCAGGTTTTCAATGCATCAGATGATTTGATCTCAGGTCATTTCATTCCTTTCAGCAGGAATATCGATGAAATTTTGATGGAAAGAGTTATTAACATGTGAAAGAACTTGTATCGTGCTAGGTTTGAGAATACCCGAGTAGTTGACTAAGCCTAGTTTCACTGTTAAAGGGGTACAGTCAAAGAGGTGCAGGTTGTTATTTACTTTACCACTTTACTTGTCAGTTCCAATTCAATTGATGTACATATGCGTAGCGGTACTTGGGATTAACCATACATGAAGCTAACCGTAACTTCTGTAAGGTCGTCTCAGTGACTCCAAATACTTCAGGTTCCATTCAAATTTTACTAGGCGAGTTAGGCTATTTTGTAGAAAATCGGTGTGGTCTGGACATTCTTGCATCTTGAGGTTTCAGAGTACTGGGGCTCACTTTCAAAGTTACTTTATAGATAACTCAGGCTTCACTGGCTTTTGTGAACGCCGATGATACAAATTGATGGGAGTAGCTATAATATTCCACTGCTGCCGTGTGATATTGGTTAACATCGAAGAAAGATGCCTGATCACGTGCTTGCTCTGCTAATTGGTGTGTTTGGATCTAGCTTATATATTGATCCATTCGCACCTTTCATATTTATCCCTAACAGCGGGCGGAGACGATCTCTCTTGATTCGTCATCCCGCATTTCCATATCAAGATATCAAGATTTGGGTAAAATTACGAAACCCATCAATAACAATAATAATAAGATGAAATACACGTCCTCAGTATCATTCCTTCTGACAGTATTCTTTGCTGCTACGATTTCAGGTAAAGATATTCAAGGACCCATGTCAGACAACAATCTTGGTCCCGCGATGCCTCCTAAATCAGAACCGTCTTCTGATCCCATCGGTGGAGGTGATTCAATTGTTCTATCAGATGTTCTAGGCAAGGATCGAAGTATCAATATATTCGCTGGATTTACAAGAGATATAGCACCTATAAGTCAGCGATTTGCTGATGGTGGTCAAAATACAACCATTCTTGCCCCAGTCAATTCCGCGATCATGGCTCTACCTCAAAAGCCATGGGAAGATCCCGAAGATTATGATAAGCTTGGAGCCAATGCATATGAAGGTGAAGATGGAGAAGAGAGAGCGCATAAGAATCTGCGGAGATTTGTGGAAGCCCACATTGTTCCTGCGAGTCCATGGAAGGAAGGGGAGAAAGTTAAGACTTTAGTTGGAGATGAGGTCTGGTGGGAGAATAAGGACGGAGTTAAACGAGTGAGTTGGATGATGATATATTTTAGTCGATACTTATTACTGACATATTTCGTAGTTGCAGCCTGGAGATATTGAGGTCTCAAGCATTGCAGGTGACGTTCACAACGGACAAGTCTGGATATTGAAGAATGTGAGAAACTATGCATAGAGATTGCCGTTACTTGAACTCGGGAATTCAAGGTGTTGGTGAATTCGACTGGGCACATATATAGGGGGCTTTGCCCTTGACGTCGCATATCATGATAATAATAATAAATATTTTGTCTTCGAAATGCCCACGTGCATTAGATAATGATGATTACATCATTCGCACCCTGAAAATTGTCAAAGAACATTCATTGAATCATCCATGGATCGAATCGATCAATAGTGTCTCCATAATAGCTTGATCTTGCAATGACATTGAATGGAATGTGCTTCAGTGAATACATATGATATGTCAACTATCAGTGGGCCTACCTGCTAAACAATTGACAGCCTCGCCTTCCCGTCCTAGTTTTACGCAGCCTTGAAGCATTAGCGGTAATCGCCGGCACGCTAAGGGAAATCATCATTGCGATCATTTGGAAATTCTCATAACTCAGTGTCGACATCTCGCTTGCTATTCTTTTTCATTGATGAATTTAGAGGGACAGTGAGTTATTGCAATAGAGATATATCTCTGAATCATACTGGAAATTAGATTCACTTCTATGGAACGGCATTAGTGGTTTTTACTCCATTGCGCCGGAGCATAAAGCCTTGCGCGTACTTGCAAGCTACTTGGTCAGTACCTCCCCATTCATTGTTGAGTCAAGATTTACTTCGCATACATGATCAGAATTAGAGCTAGTAATTTGTATGACAAAACTCCTCATCTACAAATGAGCTAACATCTACTACTTTTCGAAGTTGGCTTATCGTGAGAATCAATCGAGAATCAAATCAGCCAACTAGAAACGAAACGTTATGAATAATCAACCGCACAACGGCCCTCCAAATTTCGATCGAGATCGAGATATGGAAGAACAACTCAGACAACGTGCTTTACAGCATAAGCAGGAGGAAATCACCGCGCAGCGCGAGCGCGAGCTTGAGAGGCAAGAAAGAGATCGGCAACACAGAGAACAACAATATCAACCAGCACCTCCTCATCAGAGCAACACCGGTAGCATACCCTTGCATCAACCTGTTGCAAACCGGGCAAGTACAGCAATGCACAGTCCAGGAGGGATTCTTGCTACCCATGGTACTCCATTAGGAGCTCCAAGCGGACCTGTAAACGCCTTTGGAGGACCGCTTCACAATGATGCAGCACGCACTTTGCAACATCATGCTCAAAACTCTGCGCAGCAACCCCTTCAGCAATCCATATTTGGCTCCGAACCTATCTTCAGCCGTGGTTCAGGTGGTCCCCAGTCAAATGTGCCACTTGGGGTTCCAGATGTTGGCTTTGGCAGGCCACAACTAGTTCCACGAGAGACGACGCAACAGGAAGTAGCAGCCGCAAGGTTGATGCCATTTACACCTGTTACACCTGGTCATCAAATACCTGGGCCAGCTGGTCTAACACAAGTTGGTCAACAGCCAATTCTTAATGTAAGTTTTCAGCAAAAATTACCTCTGTTGCCCTTGAATGTTTGGGTGTATCCAAGCTATTATTCAAGTCTAATTTCTTGTAGGATGCTCTTAGTTATCTTGACCAAGTCAAAGTTCAGTTTTCAGATCAACCTGACGTTTATAATCGGTTTCTTGATATCATGAAAGACTTCAAAAGTCAAGCGTAAGCTATATTTACTTTATCAGCCTTGCACATCGGATTTTTTTGCGACAGCATGTCCTATCCAAATTCTAACTCTTGATTCACTTTTAGAATCGATACTCCTGGTGTTATCAACCGGGTTTCCGAACTCTTTGCAGGCCATCCCAATTTAATTCAAGGCTTCAATACATTTTTACCACCTGGATATAGAATTGAGTGCGGTGCAGACAACAATCCAAATACAATTAGAGTCACAACCCCAATGGGAACAACTGTCCAATCAATTCCTGGAGCTGGTCGTGTACTTGGTGAGACTGTGGTTAGCCACGGCAGCGGCGCAAACGGCTTTTACAATCCTCAACGTCCAGGAAATTGGCAGCAACAACCCCAGCATAGCATCGAAAGTCCAGAAGCTGTGTTCAGTCCACCTCACCAAAACGCTGCGGTTCCTTATGGTCACAGTCAAGCGCAAATTGGACCATACGACGCCCAAACGCAGGCGCAAGCAGCAGCAGCCGCAGCCGCGGCCGCAGCTCATCAACAACAACAGCGAGGTGTTTCTCAATTGACTAACGCTGTCAGTGCAACTTTAGGTCAACCACCAAGAAACACGCAAACCCCAACACCGGGCGGTAGCTCTGGTAATCTGAACGGTTCCAGTGCGCAAGCGGGCATGGAAAAGCGTGGTCCGGTTGAGTTTAATCATGCAATAAGTTATGTTAACAAAATCAAGGTATGAATTAATAATCATTCTACCAATCGTCTTTGAAAATATACTTATTGTTGACTCTAGAACCGTTTCCAAGACAAACCCGAAATCTATAAACAATTTCTCGAAATTCTCCAAACATACCAACGCGAATCTAAACCTATTCAGGACGTTTATAGTCAAGTAACCACCTTGTTTGGTACGGCGCCAGATCTTCTTGAAGATTTCAAACAATTTCTTCCCGAGTCAGCCGCACACGCAAAAGCTGCTAAGGAGGCGGCGGAGGAAGCAACGGCAATGCCAGATTCCTCTCAAAGTGCTCAACTTGGAAATAGAGGTCCTACAGGAGATCCCAAACTCCCAATTATGGGAAACTTTCCCATCCCTGTATCTACTAATGCCAAAACAGAAAAAAAGCGTAAGCCTCTTACTCAAGGAACCAATTCGCAAATGGGTAATGGAGGAGAAGGCTCTGTTCGTGGCGCTGGCCAACAACAACCCAATAAGGTAATCTAGGCTTCAAGCTATTCTATTAAAAACCTGTTATTTATTGAGATATTTACTTAATACTTTGATTTGTATAGCGATCGAAAACCCATCACAACAGTAAACCACAAGCTGCCGATGCAGCTGCGGTATCTCCGACCTTGACGCCAATCGTACCCGAACCACTTCCTCCTGCATCGATGTCTGCCGCGAGTTCTGAAGAATTGGCTTTCTTCGATCGCGTGAAGAAATATATTGGCAATAAGTCCACTATGAATGAGTTTTTGAAGCTCTGTAACCTTTTCTCACAAGACTTGATAGATCGAAACGTCCTCGTATTCAAAGTTCACAATTTTATTGGTGGAAGTGCGGATCTAATGAATTGGTTCAAAGCCTTTGTTAATTATGAAGGAGTCGACGAGATCATCGACAATCGCCCAAAGGCTCCGACAGGAAGAGTTGCATTGAGTAATTGTCGAGGCTTGGGGCCAAGTTATCGCTTGTTACCGAAAAGAGCAAGTTTTCCTCTCCCCATATACTTCTAGCTTCAAACTATTCATTCATCATTTCCCAGAAAGTGAATATGTTTATCAGATCAGAGCCCTTTGCTAATACCAACGATAGGAACGATTGAAGCCTTGCAGTGGTCGAGATGAGATGTGCCAAGCCGTTCTTAACGATGACTGGGCTTCACATCCTACATGGGCATCAGAAGATTCGGGCTTTGTAGCTCATCGAAAGAATATTTTCGAGGAAGGTCTTCACCGTATTGAAGAAGAACGTCACGATTACGATTTCAACATTGAATGTAACGCCAAAGTAATACAACTTCTTGAACCAATCGCACAGCAGATCGTTGCCATGGATCCAGCTGAGAGACAGAACTTCCGCATGCCTAACACTGCTGGTCCAAACCAAGCTATATACAAGCGTGTATTGAAAAAGATTTACGGTGCAGAGAAAGGTCCACAGGTTGTTACCGATCTAATTCAAGATCCTTGCGCTGTATTACCTGTAATTTTAGCACGACTTAAGCAGAAGGATGAAGAATGGACCTTTACCAGAGTAAGTATCCTATATCCCAGCAATGTAGCATCGCTAATCCAAGTATCAGCGTGAATGGAATCCTGTCTGGGGTGCACAAGGTGGTGTTATGTACCTGAAAAGTCTTGATCACATGGGCATTCACGTCAAGCAAGCCGACAAGAAACATTTTGCTGCAAAGCATTTGGTGGATTCCATTAAAACCAAGCACGAAGAACAACGACGCCTCAGAAGTTCAAGAGGCCCCACACCAAAATATCAGTACTCCTATCAATTTACTGATCAAGAGGTCATCTGCCAGCTTTTACACATCATGATTGTCTATACCTGCAATGCAAGCCAGCACAGTAGCTCCGAGCGTCGACGCATTTCTGATTTCTTCGAGAAGTTTGTTTCTACATTCTTTGACTTACCTGAGGATCTTGTTGCGCTTCACACAGCTGACATTGATCGTGGAACTCCTGATGACGATTATGAAGATATTGCCCCGGCCGAGCTTTCTAATGGGCGAGGCAGGCGACCAGTCAATGGGAAAAAGGCAGACCTGCGACGAGGAGTACTTGATAAAGGTCGCAATGGCACAAGAGGTCGGGGACAGAAGGAAGACAGCGCTACTGGCAGTAAAGAATCTACACCAGATGTTGATTCTAACATGGATGAGGAAGTTAACGAAGCAGCCGATGACAGAGTTATCACCGAAGTCACTAACGAGCGTTGGGCTGCTGTGCCAGGTGCAGTCGCTGTCCAAGGAACAAAACCTCTTGAATCCGACGACTTGGAAATGAAAGCGGATCAACCATTTCAACGTGATTGGTATAACCTGTACTGCAACCAAACCATTTTTGTATTCTTCAGCGTTTTCCAAACTCTTTATCAAAGACTCAAGGACATTAAAGATGCAGAGAGCTCTGCAAGAGCAGAGATGGAACGTGCAAAGAGTGGCAAACCTGCAAAACAAATTGGTTTGCTAAGCGACAGGACCGATGACTTCACTAGTATCGAAGATGGCGAGTCTTGCTTTTCAAAAGTCCTGAGCATTGTCGAAAAATTTATCAAGAGCGAATATGATGACACTAAATACCAAGACTACCTCCGACGTTACTACTTACAGACGGGATGGAAGATATACACCATAACCGACCTTCTTAAGACTCTTTGTCGCCTTGGCTCCACCTGCTCATCTCCCGATGCCAAGGAGAAGACTCCGGATCTCATTGAACAATTTTTACGCAACAGAGAGTCGAAAGAAACATCGTATAATATTGAGATTAATTTACGGAAACAAGCCGATAAATACATCAAAGACTCAGAATTATTCTTGATCAGATGGGTAAGCAATTTTTGGTTCCCTTTTCCAAGTATCTACTAACAGAATTTTAGTACCCTAAAAAGAATGAAGCGACATCACAGTGGGTCCATCGAGACGAAACTACATTCGATCTTGATATTATGCAACGAAAAGAGCGTTGGCAATATTATACATCATCCTATGTCCGTATTGAACCGACCGAAGGCGTGCCCCGTAGACTTCTACGCAAGAGCCTCCTTACCCGCAATTTACCATCAGGAGATACAGATTCTGAAGATGGTTCTAATCAACGTAAACCTCTTGTCTGGGGCGAAGATTTAACACTCAGAATCTGCGTCAATAGTTACAAGATCATCTACAAGGAACCCGGTGTGGAATACTTCATTTATGCCGACAAAGCTCTAGGCGGTGGTGAAGAAGGTGAGGCTAGACAAAGGTTAAAGAAGGTTGAAGAATCAAGAAATCAAAGATTTCATGAGAAATTTGGAATGAATAATCGATGGATGAAGGAAAAGAGCCACGAAGAGGTTAGTAGGATCAATCAAGAATTTAGAAAATGGGTCAATGAGGGTGTTCTTCCCTCAACACAGGCTGCTGGCAGTGGCAATGTCGTCTCTGGAGCTACATCAGCAGCACCTACTGCGGCGGCGGCCACAGCAGCCGTGGATAACGAAGTAGATATGGCTGATTAAGTTCAGAAGGCATTTGTTTTTCAAAGATGGGGCTGGATATGGGAGGAGTTTGGGAATGGGTTTCGTAACGACATTCTCTTTTCAGTTTTTTATTTTTTCGTTCCTTTGGTAAATCTCAAAGGCTTGAATTTCTTCAACCACGTGGCTGTCATGGATTCATTTGCGGAAGCTGGCATGGATTCTACAAGCGGAGTGAAGCATTGGACTTACTAAGGTATCTAGTAGTCTCTCTCGCCTCTATTTTTTAGGTGGCAAAAACTGGGGTAGCTTGGGTAAGGTGTGTTTTATATGCTGTATGATAGATAATCAAAGTTTTAAACAGATCCGTTAGTGAGGGATGGTGTGATGGTATGAGATGTGAATGTCGGGAAGAATGTGAGTTGAATCATGAACTGGTTGGGTACTTTCATTCTTTGAATTTGCTGTCATCGTAATTCATAGGAACTTAGCTCAGCTGGGCCGCTAGTGTGGCTTTAGAGTATTTTTGAAGAATACATTGTCGCGATGGGCGAATAAAATCGCAGACCAAAAAGTATTCTCTTTTCTGAAGTTGGGCGCATTGAGGTGATTTGATTGTTGAATTTGATAGACATTTTGAAGGCAGGCTTAGATCGATCTCAAAGTCGAGGGTCTCTTAATGCTACCTATGAGGCCATCTAAAGGCTTTTAACAACAACGCCGATCGATATTTTTACTGGCTGGGACCAGTCTTAATGTGCGAGGTTCTCTTTTCGTTCTTGGAACCTCTCATATGCTAAGCAAGGGATATTAGTATGGGTTATATTCTTTAATGATAGAAATTTTGTGCCCGTGGCAAGCAAGAAACTTTCCTTTCTGAGGTTGATAAGAGTTTGGGAAAGCCTAGAATTATTGTATTATACGAATCAATATATTGTAAGGTGTTTTTTTTTCGATCAGCTTTGGGATTAATGCTGGTCGGCTTTGGATTTAGTGCGACTTGTGTAGATGATCTCTCACCTGGTGCCTCTTCCGAAGTATAAGGAGAGGTCTTTTGAAAAGCATTCTAAAGGTTTTGGGGGCAGGTAGAATGTATGTCCCACTTTTCACTGAGAAATTTTTAGTACTTCCTTGATCAATTTTTGCTTGCTTAACAATTCCAAAAATCCCAAAAATTGAAGAAATTCGCCCTTTTGCCCTTTGGAAGAGGCTTATGTTATGTGTCAGCACAACGCACCTATGTTATAAAGATTCCCTAAGGTTCTCCTCGAACCTTTTGACATCTAGATTGGGCTTACTTGTGTTAAAATTTGGGTATGCGATAAATATCGAGAGCCGCACAAAATAAATGTGTCGTTCACCTCTTTCACTAATTGCAAGGCTGTTGCAATCATTATCAAGATGTCTTCGCACTTCTTGCTTAAATGGGGTGAAAGTACGTGCTGCCCCGTGCATGCATATATTGGACCTGACCATCTCAGCAACCTATCTTCATACGAAGAACCAATTGATTCCCCTGTTGCATTAATGTGTCAGCTATGCAGGGTATGTCTCCGCGCTGCGTAGCATTTTAGTAAATCTCGCCAATGATTCTCATGCTGGCAAGGTATTGTTTGTCAGCTTGATGTATGGGGACGGGAGAAAGGCGCCAAGGTAATTCTGCGGCTTATTGTCTTCCTTCATTGTTTATTTCGTCGTCGTGTTTTGGCATCAGAAAACTCCAGCTTTAGTTTATGATGGATCACGAAGACGAAGCACAAGAATTGTCAGCAGAGGGCGTAAAAGAACGTGAAAGGGTTGAAAAGTCCCAAGGAAAATCTCGAGAAGAGGATATGGTGCACGAGGAAGGTGATGAAGAGACAATTACCCATAAGCACTTTTGGATCACCGGGCTGCCAGACCTAGAAGATGCTGAATTCAGGAAATTCACTCATCGTCAGTTACCATTCCAACTGCCTCAATTATACTAATATCGGGTAAAGGAACCTCAAATGATGAAACCCATGATTCCTCATTTTATGAACCAGGGGACGAACAATGCAGTATGTGGGAGTCAAATCCCGACCATGAATGCTACTCATCATTTGGAGATGGAAGAACGACAGCAACAGTGAATGCATGTGGGCAACTCATGCAATTCAGCACTTATCTTGGCCTGGGAAAATCTGGCATGTTTTGTGTAGACCATGCAACTTTATCTGAGCCCTACTTCGGTTCTACCAGAGCGGATGACTTAAATAACATGTCCCGAGCCCGCAATCGAGATAAAATGACGTACGGTGTGTATGTCCCAGATTTGATTCTAGAAGATAATTTAGTTCGGAAATACGTACACTGCAGGTGGCCTCGGTATGAGCATAAGAGCGAGAAGGCCAAAATCGACAATCAATGGATGGTGCATGATGAAGTAGTCTTACAGCAGTGACATTTTACTAATCTCGCCATTGGAAGAATATCAATAAAAATTGTGTTCTCGAAAGGCATATGAATTCGGAGTTTCCAGTATCAGGAATGGGACCGCTCTCATGATTATCATGAATGGGGCACACACAGCTTCTTCGGACCGGGAAATTATAGCTGGATTTGGCTGCATGAGTTAATGGATGATAGCCTGGTAGCTTCTAATATTGAAGCTGAAAAAATCGATAATTCGATTGGAGTGATCGTGTCTGTATTTATTGACGGCGTTGCCATTAAATTCGGCTCGGATGAGGAATGGAATTTAACCATTGAAAGTAACCAGACTACAGAGGTTGTTGTTGCATACAAGTTGATATATTCAACAGCAGAAGTTTCGAAGGACTGGAAACAATTCTTGGTGAAGGCAGATAAGGCGAATGTCAGTAGATTGTTATCGAATGAGTTTGATTTAACACAATATCGTTCATTATCACTTTTCAGCGTCGGGGAGTTCATATCCGATGTCTCTCCTAAGGAATCTACGGCGTGGGATGCACTCAAGAGTAATTTTGACTTCATCTTCCAACGGCATTTGGAACATCTTCTCACTGTCTGTGCGATTCCCGTTACCTCGTGTCAAGGTAGCATTAACACGCCTGTTGTAGCCTTAACGTGTGGAGATATATCTACTCATCGGTTCTGTGTCTCAGCTAGTCTGTGAGTTTTCTTTTTGCAAAGAGTTCACTCGATTTCTATAGGCTAATGGTTAAATTTGTAGCTTTGCGTTTTTGTTCCTTCTCCAAGTGGACTCTCATCTACGATCAATCGAGTCACCTGACGAAATATACGTTTTATCACTTCGAGAGAGAATAAAAAAAGTATGTGAAGGACATTTGATGTGGGTAAACAGTGTAGCTTTGTCAAAAGATGGACTTTTTGAGTTTGAATACATGGTCAATGGGAGATTACCGGTCTACAGACGAATGGTCCAACCTAAGCCATCAAAGACCCTTCTTAAAAACACAGCATTTCAGATCATAAAAGCAGGAAAATTCGCCAATCGTTACAGTAAAGACTCCTCCAAGAACGAGTGGCAACTTGCTCGTAAGGTCGTCAAGCGGGTCTATGGCAATTGAATAACGCATCTAGATAAGCTCGACGAGAGAGGCAAGTTTGTATGGCCTAGATCTCAACGCGAGGATCTCCGTATCTTTCGCCTAGATGACCATGTCTGGGTTATCAGGGCTCTTAAGCTAGCCGAACTCATGATCTATTCCAAACATACAGAGAGAGGTATCTAAGAACATATCATTATTGCGCTAGAGAGGCGGCTTAGGCCACCTTTAAAAAAGAAGTACTCTTACGCGAATGTACAGCGAGAAGTTGTACAACGATTCACCGTCCACAATCAAAATTATCAGTCCATCAAGAGAATGCTAGCAGTTACGAGATCCATGCAGGAATCCAGATTCTTGTTTCATGCGCGGGATACCGCGCTCTTCTATAACATCGACCGAATGGAATGGAAAGGGACGCAATTTATTGAGCTGTTGAAAAATACCATTGACTCGCAACCACATCATGTAGATAATGGAGACCCTAGCTGGGACAATACACTTCGCTATGCTCTAGCTATACTTATTGGTACTTACGTATACAAAATTAATGCAGAGCCTTCATTTGAATTGGTCGAATCATCTATCGAGGTCCTTTTCGGAAGTTTTAGTTCCAATGGGTTTGTCTCGGGGCGGATCGATAAGAACACGAAGGAGCAGGTTTTATTCGAAGACGAAAATTACGAAGACTCCTATTATCGCGCTAGTTTTAAGATACCATATATTCTTTTTCAATACGCTACCATAATTTACAGTCTATATAAAAACGGGGTTTTCTGAGATGATAAATTCAAAACCGATGACTGATCTTGGTGATCCTCAGCATACAAAGCTTCAGCGACTTGAGAGTATCTTCGACACGGCGCGAAATACCCCAAAAATTGGAACATCGACTCTTTTATTCTGGATTCACTATTTTAGTATTGAGCTCCCTGCCCGACGAGTCTTACTGGCATCAAACATCTCGAGATCCAGAGAACCCATATTTCTAACTCTGATACACGTATTGCTCGGTATGATATTTCTACCACTCTTCATCATATCTTGTCTCTTCCAACTTTTCATATATAATTTGGCAGATTTTATCGCAGCGATTTAGGGCAAGTCCTTCTTATATATTTAGCAGACCCACTTTTACTAAAAAACTATAGAACTTATTCTGTTCCAGCTCACCCCATCGCCAGCGGCAATGAGAGACTTGGATGACAAATATAAAGAGCGCTTGAACTTGCTAACAAATCCGCCACATTCTGTTGGGCCCATGAAGCTCTTAATCAACAAGCTCAAGGCACGACGAGAGAATTGGGAAAACAACTGGATAAGAGAGCAGCAAGCGATAAAGGAAAATGCACCTGAGGAGAGTGATGTAGAGAGTGTTTGGTACAACATAGAGGTTCCTGCACCTTCGCAGTCTTCTTAGGAACCGTAATACCTATGTCAACAAAATCAATCAATTATATTCAAACTTGTAAATAGTGGGTAGGTATTCCACATTTCGAATCAGATCATGAATAGCTTCGTTCCAGCCCGGCAATAACATGTTCTTCAATGTTCAGTCTATCCTACCTATGTAATCAACCTATTCAAAATGAGGGAAGCACTTGGGATATCACAACTAACGAAAACATCAATTGACTGTATTATTATACAAATTGAATTGTAACATTGATGGGTTATTATTCAGAGTGGATCGAGATGATCATAGACTAATGTTCATTTTGAATAAGGATACTTAATACACTGCTCTGTTGAAAGTGATCTGAGATATTGAAGTGACAACACTCATAAGATAGGATATCGACGAATCATTGTTCATGTAAACAGAAATATTGAAACATCTTAATCATTCTCAAACATCCACTAGTTTTCTGCACATCGTGAAGTTCAAGTAAGGCCATCGGATACACTGATCTTGACACTTGGACGAATATGTTCCTTAGTGCCTCATATTGAGGAAGGAGAATTGTAACAGCATAATCCATACTTGGGGCATTATAAAGATAAACATTGTAACTCTTTTCATTAATGACTTGTATTGGTTTCGCTCACATTTTCCCCCTACTTCCTCCATTGACAAAAAACAAACACACATAGCAAAAAAGAAAACATTTATGGTATCATCGAGCATTCATTCCCTTACATTCCCAACAAAACACCCAACCCATCCCAACTTTGCCTGCTTACTGAACCGTAACCTCACTCTTTTCCGCGATTTCCTTTTCGCTACCCCCGACTGGCGGCGTCTCAGACCCATCATTCTTTACTCCCTCCACATACGTAGCTTCTGGCCTATGATGTTTACTTGGATGTTGTTTTCCAGTAATATCCAAATAAATTGACTTTGCCGTCCTCGCCAACGAATGTCTTCCCTCGAATACAGGATAAACACCCACCGTCAATGTACTACCTATCAACCAAATGATACCTACGACAACCCAACCAGTAAAGAATTTCTCGGAGAAGATATAGCCGCTGCCGTACATGGGCATGGGCCATAAAATCAACAACGAAACAGTCAGGATAACAGTCATACCCTTTGCAATTTTTGAAGCGCGGAGAAGTTTAGTTTGTTCGAGTGCTTCTTCTGCGGCGGAGTTGCGCGTTTCGCCTGGTACGAGTTCGAGATCTACGTCGGCTGCATCGGCTAAATCGTGGTCATCACCTCTACGGATAGCGGCCATGGATTTCCAATCATATTTATCCCAGCCGAAAATTAATGTGAAAAGGGGGGTGAAAATGAGAGGTGAAAGAAGAGCCGTGACATTTCCTGCTAACATTGGGTTGTTGGAACCGGTGCAATCGACATCGAGGGAGCCGCATTCTTTCTTGGCGGTGACGAGCCAGGCGATAACAGCGCAAATGAGACCGAGAGGTGGAGTAAGTGCGGCAGCCCAACGATTGTGGCCAGCCCACATGATTGTTAGAGTCGCGGGGATGACAGCAGAGGAGATGATTACACCCATCATTAGGTACAGATAACCCATGGAAATACCAGCATAGTATAAACCAGTGGAAAAAGCAGCCATAAACAAACCAAAGCCAATGACCATAGCATGACTCATGTAAATCAATCTCTTTCCACTTGCGCTTGGATTGAAATATGTTTGATATATATCATATGTAAAGATGGAAGAAACGGCGATGAGTTCGGCAGATGATGCTGATGTGACGGCCATGAAAACAATTAGAAGTGTACAGACGGCACCACCACTTCCGAGGATGGCAACGGCGGCATATGGAAGTACAAGACCTGCTGAGACATCGGCAGGATCCATACGATTAGGATAGGTAGGAAAGACTGGGTTGCCCTCTAGAGCAATGGCTGCTAGACCCATAGTTGTAGCACACAGCCATGGAATGGCAAACCAAGAAATTCCACCCATGATATAACCTGGAAGCGCATGCACTGGGGATGCAGCAATTGCCTTGTTGTAGTATCCATTGTCCAAGAACACAGTTCCAAAATTTCCAACGATATTGATGACGAAGAAGATGGCACCTTCTGAAGATTTCATAGTGAGATAACTACCACCGGCATTTCCTTTGACTGGATGATCGGCCGCTGCTTTGAGTAAAAGATCGAAAACCGCTTTTGGCGATCCAAGTACCTCACTTGTAGCGTAAGTGGTGAATGCGAAGATTAGGATAATGATTAAGAGCATAAAAGTATGAACCCAGTCAGTGAGGAAAGTAGCTTTAATACCACCGAACATGGTGTACATAACTACACCCAATGGTAGGAGGAAACATGCTATATGATGTAAGCAACTGGGAATCTAATGTCATATGATTCTCTTACCAGCAGGTGTAGGCATTCCTGTTAAGGAAGATACTACAGCAGCACCGCCTGTCAAAAGCATTGCAGTGACAAGGATATTAGTCATTAAGCCAAAGACCGTAAATACGATATGAGCATGTACACCATATCTAGCTTTGATAACTTCAAGGAAAGTCTAGAATTGATCAGTATGTTTCTATACCTGCTGGACTTCTCAACCTACATGAGCATTTGGTGCTCTTCTCTTCAACTCAATGGCAATAGTTGCAAACAATAGAATCTGAACCGTAGCTCCAGATGCATACCAAAAAGGTCCAGAAACACCATATTTGTATGCAACACCAGAACTTTGCAGTAATGTAGCAGCCCAGGTCCACGAAGATACAACTGCAGATGCCACCAATCCCGACTTTACTGTTCTTCCAGCTGTACTAAACATCTCTGATGTTTGCAATTCGTGGTTATATCGTTTGAGAATCCATGTTACGAGGATCTAATTGATTCAAAGAAGTCAGTTTGAGACTCTCAATTATAGCAATTGGGTGTGAGACCTACCATTCCAAATGCAAATAGAGCACCCAGACCAAGAACTATTCCATATCCCCAGCCAGAGCTGAGTGGAGGTGAGATAGGCATATTGGCTGAAAAGAGACAATCGACCTCAATGCAATGGATGAAATGTCGTTTTCACAAAGTTAATGAAAATCTACACATGTGGCACAAGAGAGGAGGGCAAAGCTGTTATTATATTATATCATATCATACTAGGTATATGGAGATATGCAACTAGGGCAATATATTTCGGGGTAATACTGATAACTGTGACACTGACCAGTCACCGGAAGTAAGAGCTGAAAAAGAAGGGGTGACATAATCCCTAGGTGATTTTTACCTTACATGAATTACTCATCATATAATGGATAGGGGATCTGGATGAGAGAAAACAATGATCACCACAGCAGCCTGAAGTTTGTCTAACAGATAAGGTTGAATATTGATAATTTTATCAAATAAAACATATAGAATTACCTAGGAGTTTCCCCAAAACCTTGCTATCTCACTGCATCATCGGGAGCTTGGACATTGGGGGTTAAGCGATCTGTACGATAGACAAAAGATTCACTCTTGATTGGCCGTTTTTCAATTGATAAGAAGCAATTTTCAAAAGCCATCGATAAGGAAATGGGAACTGATGGGAAAAATGTGAGAAGACATGCAAAGGCAGGGGGAAAGGGTAGAAGTTACAATTGGACAGTGACATCAAGTGGAGTCATACCAAGAAACGGCAGTACTGTAGAATATTGTCTAAAGCATTCCGATACCGCAGATATATCCAAAATCTGATGAGAACTGAGTCGATGAGGTGCTCGATATGCTCGATACAGACTTCTGCTTTATCAGATACGGTGTGTTCCGATGAACCATGGGTCTCTTGACCCCACCGAGAAAGTCATCTCCATGCGGGATGCAAAAAAGGTAACTGCATCTTGCATATCGATTCTAGACCTTGTCAAATTTGCGTTGACAGCTTCTCTAATGAATGTGCCAATCGCAGAAATGATCTTCTAGGACACCAATCAATAAGAGGGTAAATCAATCATCCCACCAAAGACTGTTTCATTATCATTTCCTTTGGATGGCGGACTCCAAATCGTTGCCAATGTACATCAATCTGGATAATTGTATTTCACTAATCCCGAAGAGTTGCTTAGTGTTCATCTAGAGAGTATTCGATTATCCAAGAGATGACCTCTCAATCTCCTTTTCATGAACAATGGTCAATCGGAAGCTTGCGAAGTCAAACGGAGACCAACATGTCGACAACAGGAACCTGATACTTCAGGACATAGAAAATAGCTATCGCATTAACAATTCTTCCTAAGAACATAAGACCAAATTAATTCTTGCCCAAGATCAAAATATCACCAATAGTGCCAACCAATCCCGAATTCCGTTATGAAACTCCGTACCACGCCCTCCGACCCAATTCTCCTTCCAGTCTGAGTGTCCTGGATCGCATGTATTGATATAGTCTTGAAGTATCCCTAACGCGAACTCTCCCTGTAGCTTCGGCCATCTCCTAATCTACCTCTCTCATGCGATATGTTACGCGTACTGCATAGGTTGTTGTGGTTTACCACCTGGTGGACCTCCTGCCCAACCAGGATTCGCAGGACCACCACCGCCGCCGCCGCCACCTGGGGGTTGATTCTGTAATGGCACTTGACCTCCTCCATTTATCTGTGATTGAACATCTGGTCGATTTTGGAGTGGTTGTGCGAAATTGCAGATGGAGCAGATAACATCTTCGTAAGCATGGAAGCTCAATGGGAGGACCGGAATAAAGCAGAATGTGAACCAGGGATGTCTCTTTATGACTTTCGCAGAATAATTTCCCTATTCATACAATTTAGTTGTTGGAGGGAGCGCAACGAACAGAATCGAAGACTTACACAGTTATGGCATTGGCATAGCACATTCTCGTATCCCTGAAGTTGGGATGAGAACTCTATGTAAGAAGTGTTAGCTACAGAACCATCAAAGACTCTTACCTAGTGATGGAAGCTCTCATACCATGTTCTCCGCAGGTGAAAATAAAGCACATATTGATGGGATCCGCTTTCTGAGGTTTAATGTTGATAAGTTATATTTCCCCAGGAATTCGATCAATTTATGATGAACAATGAGTAGTAAAAAGTACCCGTGGACCCAGGTAATATGGGAAAGAGGCGCGTCATATAATCACCGGCAAGGATTATGGATTTGAGGCTGATTGAGGCTGTGCATAATATTGTCGGGATTTCGAAATGACATATGTCCGCTGTGTATCTTGGCACGTGAAAGGGCTCTGATTGGCGCTAAAGTTACGATTGACGCTAAAGAATTTCTTAGCGAGCTTTTTTTTTTCGATGCAGTCATATATTCAGAATCTTTTGTAGAATTCCTTTCCCTTCTCTCTCCAAGCGTCGTCCTCATCAACGCTGCGTTTCTATGCTACAAACAGATAAACTTGTTCATTCAAGATTATTAGATCGCTTGCGATTAATCATTTGCATATGAGAAATTCGGAGTACTCTTCAATTTACCTCGTTCCTTTTCCTTCGGGCAAAGATGAACAGGTCTGCCCGTGAGGGTTCGGCGTGATTTCACGTCTGCAATTGGCATCAGAAAAGCAGGGCATGGTCACTCTATATATATCACTTCCGAAAGGAGGAGAGAAAATGGTTGTGTATTACTGTTCCTATGGGAGAGCCGTTGCGAAGATTGTGTGTGCTGAGGCATGACACTTAAGTGCAATACGTGGCGTGCTGGACTTGTCATTACTTCGGTATAACAAGTTGAGTACAATTCGATTCCGATTACTCTGTTGAGGACGACGCTTCACCTTTTTTTTTTCAGGTCAGTAATTACATTTCACCTTTTAAGTTGGGATACTACTAATGATTTCGAATCTCTGTCTTGATATTTAGCACTTCAAAACAGGAATTGATTGACGTCTTTCGAAGTCAACGAATGCCACCTCCGCGAGTATGCCATCCGCCAAAGCCAATCGAAATTCCTATTGCAACGATCTATGACGAGCCCGAACCCTCTACGTTTTCTCCCTCCTTTTCACTCGCATACAGTTTTTTATTGCCCTCTAGCAAAGTGAACAACCCATTCAATTCATCCAAAAGGGCTTCGCAGTCTTGACTTCCATCTCTAGATCTCTGAAACAACTCCAGAATCTGCCGACCCGTGGTATCGATCTTTTCCTTCAATCTTTCCGATGCTTTGAACACAGTCGCGCTCGATTTCTCCCCGACAGTTGACATAAGTGCCTGCTTTAAGGCTTCCATAACTTGTGCGATTTGATGGTTGAGTTGCTCATACAGTGTATCTTCCGAATCATTCACTTTCTTGATGTTGGCATCTTGATCTTGATTGCCATATCCTCCATGTTGATTTAAATCTTCCATCTGTTCTGGAATTTTCGATACACTGTCCAATTTCAAAGCCCATAGTTGTCTTAGGATCCTTTCTGGTGTATAAGTCTTGACACTTTGAATGTCGGCATCATACTCTTTAAGAACTCCCGAGTAAATGACTCCGGCCTCCTTGATTACAGTACGTAATTTCTTCATGGCTTTTCCAAAAGGCAAAGTATCCTTATGTCTCGCGTCTTCATAGTCGCTGCTTGAGTCGAACATAGAGTCTGTACTCTCTGGACTCAAAATTCGCCCTCCATTTTTAGTTGTTCTATCGAAACTCCTACTCAGTCGAAATTCGGGTCCGTATCTTTCACGAGCAGCTCTTCTCATTGGCTCTGAGTCGTATACGAAGTAAGGATTGGTGGCTCGACGGTATTCATCGTACAACGATTCAAATCTAGACTCTCTTCCAAAAGGTCGAAGTCGATGTTCAGTAGGTCGATTCATTATCACGTAAAGATTGGCAACGCGCGTTCGTGGGATTTTAGGGGGAATTGGTAGCTTTCGGAGGGAAACGTAGAGAATATGTGAGCTCGTGCTCAACGGGCAAGATTATAGTGGCCTTTGAGCCAATTTCTCTCGTTTGGCTTGCATGGAATGGCTTTCAGCATGAATTCTCACACGATTGATTTCCATGATTGGCTGAGCATGTTGCCGAGCATATCTGCATATATCCTAAGTTTTGTAGAAGCTGTCATCTTTAGCTATTATTCTGAACAAATTATTTACCCATCTACAAACGGCCCCTCCAATGAATTTTCGTAGATGCTTGCTCACATGCAAAGTCCCGCCGCTAGTAAACTTTACCCCGCCATTCATCGTCATGCTTAGAAATACAAGGACCTTGAAACAATTATCAATCAACATCAAACCCCAATACAATCAGGAAATCATAAATGAAATCCAAGATCTTTTCACAAAAGATCTTCTGTCGTTCATCATTATTCTCCAAACCATCCATTTCCTTTCATCCTCAGTATATTGGACCCAGGAGATTCTCAAACACAATGTCTGAAGCAAAGGAATTTCCGCCACAAAAGGTGAAGGAAGTAGTGATTGAAGTTGCGAAATTATTAAAGGAGAGAGGGGAAACTGTTAGTGTAGCTGAGACGGTATGTGCTATTTGCTTTTCTTGTCTTTGGTTGTTTAGGATTTGTGGTGTGGAGTGTGGTTTGGAGTGAGAATGGGAGTGGGAGTTGTGTGATTGTTCGGGAGCTTCGGGAGGAAGTCTTGTTTTATTTTTGCTTTGTGGTCTGGTGATTGTCTCTTGGATATCTGGGTGTGATTCAGTTGGCTTGGGGGATGGGATGGGATGGGATGGAAAATAGGAGTTGAGGACGTTTAGGTAGATGAGTGATGGAAAATAGAATGTGTACGGAAAAGAAGACGAAGAAAAGAAAACTAACAAGCACAGGCAGCGGGAGGTATCATATCCGCTTCTATACTCAGTACACCTGGTGCCAGTAAGTTGTTTAAAGGTGGTCTGACAGTTTATACATTGGAATCGAGAATAGCTTTTGGTAATTCTGTGTTTCGTATTTTTCATTCTGAGGATTTTTGTTTTATGTTTTCACATACTGATATACCTACAAGCTGGTTGGACTCAAGAAACCATAGCTTCGTACAGTGGACCTACCCCCGATGTCGTGGCGGGTATTGCGGAGAATGTGAGGGGAAAATTGGGAAGTACTTATTGTGTTTGTGAGAGTGGGACTGCGGGACCTGGTGCTAGTGGGGAGGGAAGGAATAGACAACCGTATGTTTCTTTTCTTTTGTCGCTTTCATGATTTTCCTCTTCCCTTCTTGTTCTTCTCGATTCTTCTCTCCCTTGAAAGTGCGGGGATAGTTGATTGAGTTATAGATAAGTCAGAGAGATATAAGAGATGAAAGCTAATACGTGATGTAATGGAAAGAGGATATGTAGCCCTAGCTGTCGCAACGGAAAATGGAACGTATAAGAGAGATTTAAGTACGGGGCTGGGTGGTGATAGAGAGGGGAATATGGTTGTGTTTGCTAAAGAAGCATTGACATTTTTGAGAGATGTTTTGAGGGGTGATGCGAAGCTTTGAGTTGGGGGTCGATGGGCGAGGGAGAAAGAGGTGTATCAGAGATCAGTGAAAGACCGTTTAGCTGGGACTGATGGTGAAAATTGAATGAGATATGAAAGATGTTGTAAGCTTCAAATCGTCCAGTTGCTCGTTATATGTATATGAACTATCCCATTCGTTTTTTTTTCAATCTTCACGCTCCCTAATTCCCATTCTACCCCAAATCCCCTCTTTCCTACTTTGTACTTTTCCCTCATCTCCTCTCTCCCCTCATTATTCCCTCCTCAACTACAAAGAAACAAATTCGGTTCCCTCCAAGGACCACTCATCTTACCATCCGCATCCTCCTCCACAGCCAAGATAACTCCACGTCCCCACCCCCCGCTCCATCTCTTTTCCCCCACCAAACCCATGCCTCTCACACTCACTCCCCAACAGCATCTCCTCCCTCTTCTCCCTCTCCTTCAATAACGTAAACCCCGTCACACTCTCCCCATCCCCATCCCTCTCCCGCTTCTCCCTCACCCCCCTCAACCCCCTACATTTCTCCCCCACCCAACCTCCCTCCTCCCTCCTCAACCCCAACTCCCCCCTTCCCCTCTCCCTCATCCCCCCCTCCCCAGCCCCAAACCCAAACCCCAGAAACAAACCCGCAAGAAAAATAAATACAATAAACACCACGAGCGAGATATCGCTTCTCCTTCTCCTTGAGTAGTTATACGCGCAAGCCGTACACGCCGATGAATTTTCGAATATATTCTCAAACATATTCCCATACACATCTCCATTTACGAGCGTTCCATTGATGAACAGCGAGGTTCCGGTTATGAGGAGAGAGGTGCTGTTGAGGAGGAAGGATAGATTGGTGGGGGTAGGAGGCATGTTTTTTTTGTGGGGGGAGGGTAGGTAGGTAGGTAGGTAGGTTGGATATCTATTGAGTGGGAGTTTTTCGTATGTGGAGATTATGATGAGTGTTGGGTTATGGTTTGAGTTGATGAAATGAGATGAGATGAGATGAAGTAAAATAGAGTAAAGTATCCTCTCAACTTATACAATAAGTATATGTAGGTATGTATAACAAACCCAACCCACTAAATCCCCAACAAAACAAATTCATACCATTCCCTCATTTTCCCTCTCCTCTCTCAAAATCCAAGACAACATCGACAAATCGCACAGAAATCTAGACCAACAACTCCCAGATTCATTCCGTAGCGCACCGAGTACCGAGTACCGAGTACCGAGTACTTGGAATCCGGAACGCCCATACCAATCCTCGTCAATCGTACGCGGGGCAAAAGAAAGTTCGATCAGCAAGAGAGACAAATCATGATTTCTTATTGCAAAGTTAAACATCCATCTCCCAACCTCGTTGTTGATGTTGTGTGTAAATCTCATGGCTGGAAATGCGAGGGGGGTTACTCGAGTAGTGAAACTTCTTCGCTTGCGCATCGTGTCGTTGCTTCTTTAAGGGTGTCCGAGGGGGGATTGATGATGTTGGTGGGAGTATTGAGTAATGAGTCGTGAGTCGTTAATGGCTGCGCAGTGCACTCCATACTAGGGAGTTTGGTCCGGCTTTACTTGTTAGTCGTATATCTAGCATATTTCATTCTCTGGTAATATTGATATTGACATTGACATTTGGGTGGCCAGACTATTGGAGATGGATTACTAGATTCTCAGAGGTAACATTCACTTTCCTGTAAATTGGGCCGGTGCTCAAAGTTAACCCAAGGTTCCATGTCTATCTAAATCAAACACCAAAGCAAAATTGGCGATACATCATTACTATATATTTCTCACGATAGGTCGATGACGTTGACGGTGATGACAGACTTTATATACCCACACAGATATACAGAAAAGAACAAAAATCGCACGAGATCAAAGATATAAGAAACACAAAACTTTCGTTCCTTCTTCAAAAACTTCTTAGAAAAGATACATATGTAATAAACTCTACATACGACCCGTGGTAATTGATACCACAAACCCCTATTTCCATAACCTAAATCCACGAACTATTGTCGAGTGTTTTATTCTGTAAAGCCGAGCCTCATTCCATTCTCATAACTCCGTTGATCGTTTGCCCGTATTTAATTTCGTGGCGACCTGGTAACTCAACAGGTAATCATAACCATGAACACCTAAAAAAAACCCATCTTATTGTGTGGATTGTGTTGTCGTGTAATGAACGCCGTCCCGATACCCCAAAGATTTCATCCCACAATGGGTTGTGCTTCAATCTCTCTTGAATCGACGATAGTGACGTCACTCTTCGTTCATCATCTTCCCTTCAAACCATCAAATATGAACGTTGCTCAACCACCTTGGACATTGACAAGCCCTTTACATACACCATAACTACAACATGCGCTGGGATCTAAGGTTCCTCTGAGTACAAGGTCTCTGGTTGCCTAGTTATCCATGTTAGTTTTGAAATCTCAATTCCGGAAATATATAAGAACGAGAGAGATTGTGAAGAAGATAAGAAGGATGAGGAACTTACATCGCTGCAAGGCATTGGTGTAGCTGTAACGAGTGAAAAGGTACCGAGTACAGCAGCTGACACGAAGAGAAAAGTCGACGAGAGTTGCATTTTGAGGTCTGAAGTCGAAGACTCGTATATGAGAGGATTGATACGAATATATATTCGAGATATTTCAGAAAAATATCCTTGGTAGACGGATAGTCCGTATGTTTTCCAACTATCCAATGTTTCAATCGCGTCGAGCAATGAACGAAACGAATTCCGGATATGGGATTCTGAAATGAGGTTGAGGTATACAAAGACGTAAAAATCCCAAAAGCGGATTGTCTCTTTTATCTATATTCTTCCCCTCCCTCAAAAAAACAAAGACAAGAGTCGTACGGATAATCTCCCAAGTAAATCGTATACTAATCTAGACTTTACCCCACAAAGATGTAACCGGAGGCACTGGCCCTCGGCGAAAAAAAGGCTCAGGACTCAGACGAAGATGAAACGGCTTTATAGATAGACGGGCAGCAAAGCGGGGACGGTAAATGCAATTGAATGGATCAGGCAGGTCAAAGAATAGTGACACTGCAAGATAAACGATGGAAGATGATTTGATGCGTGTGAAGAAAAGATATATATCGAACGTACGCAACTCCCAGCAATGGAAACGGAGATGGTCCAATTCTTATACCTGCCACCTACCTATCTCACTCATCGTATCCCGATCTTCAAGACATCATGCGAGATAGTGGTTGACAGACCGTAACCGGGTCACCCACGTCGAACCCTGTCGTTCCCACGCGGGTCCACCATGCAAAGGCATTGTAGAACTGTGTACATACCCCAATTGGATAAGTGAGTGAGATCAGTCCTGCTCATCAGGCTGTTTTCGGCCTTTCTTTGAGTTTGGATGGTGGACTAACTAACTGGGAAGTTGGAACACGAACCAGTTTTTTCTTAGCAGACGGTCGATCCGAACGAGTGCATATTTGGTTTGTGTGGCTGAAGCACGGAGTTTTTTGCTTAGGTTTGAAGCCACAGTCGAATCGATTCGATTGGTTGATGGGGATGATATAAATAGAGTGGTGGATGAAGAGATCTGCTTGCGGTGGTGAATTTTCAAAGAGAAAATAATATAATGGTCAAATCTTTCATTTGGATATAATGATGAAAATGATATCAACATGATATCAACATGATATCACCTCGTCTGCAATCATATGAGTGATGTGCAATTGGTATGTATGCTGGTACCGGTCGGCTTTGAATGCCCACCTCGATCCATAGATTACTGTGCAGCTCTCTACATGAAATACGAGCATTAGTGCATTTGGAAGATGTTGATAGCGCACGAATAGAGGAGACGATAGGAAAAATTAACTTTAGACTTAACTTTAGCTCTAGAGTCTAACCTGAAGCCGGAGAAACTTGGACTGTCTGTTCTGTCTGCATACTAATAAAGTCGTTCCCTTTTTGTTGGGTTCATGAATACTAGACAGAAGAAAGTCTTTACATCTTCACACAATCATTGGTATAACGTTCCAGAACATCACAATATCTTTTTCACACCTACACAATTTCTCGCATCACCACAGTTACCTTCTCGTATCCTCCTGTCTTGTCTTGAAGAATTTAATAGTACTGTAAGTACTGTCAGCTCTCGTATGTCCCGGCTAGCTGCGTCCACCAGCCTCCAGGTCGCTGAATAATAAATATTAGCATCCATCCAGTGAGTGATTGACAGGAGAATACCCACATTGACTCGTAGTCCCCACGCCACACACAACCAAAGTCAAATAGTAACCCACTCACTGTTAACTTTATACAGTAAAGGAAAGGGATCTGGAAGTCCGATTTTGCATTGTCTTTAGGGGTGTAAAACTTTTCATCTCGGGATCGATATACAGGTTCAACACATAAAGGGTCTGTCTCTACTCGTACATCAGGGGGAAAACAAATCGCGCTTAACCACATCGATAATTCGAGTATCTTCCTCGGTTGTTCTGCGAAATATTCAATCACTGGGTATGTTTCAAGAAAATCAAAAGCCAATCATTTTGTCAACACTTTCAAATACATTTGTTTCACATGCGATTGATTTATCGTTCAAATTCAAATTCTTTGCAACATACCGGTAATCAAGTTCGGCTTTTATTTCACCGACATAGGGAGGAATACCTAGATCATGTGATATTAGTCAAGTCAGGCGTCTTTTTAATCGTTACAAGGAAAAGGGATTAGACAACTGAGAAAGAAGGTCATCCTCTAGTCGAATTATCGCTTTTCCGACAGAGCGTAAAGAGACGAGGATCTCTCAGAATGACCCCATCTCGAGCCCATCATCAATTTCTCAATTCGATTTGAAGAAAATTCTCCCCATTTCAAATACTGGATGACTTTCATGGTCTAGTAGACAAAAATCTACCTACACACAGCTTCATACACATCATTCCCACCAACATCCCTTCCACCTCCCATCCCCATCTCCGTCATCCCCATCCAATCCTCATCCAATCCCCTCTCATCCCCTCCTCTCCCACCCACTCAAATCAAATCAAATTCAAATCCCCACCGCAAAAAACAATCTCCACATATCCATTGACTCCATTCCCTTCATCTTTCTCCATCCCCATCATTGCCGCTCCAAGCATGAGAAAATAGAAAATGGTAAGCATCCTCCAAGTTACGCCGTTAAGAGCGGAGAAGACCCCTGAAGATCTGTCGATCAGGATAAAAGTTCAGACCAAGTAGTTTGACAAGAAACATGATTCATTCTTTGAGGATTCGAGAAGATTCATTGATTCTGCAACACGTGCTGAATAGAGTTTGAAATTCATATCCAATGATATATCTGTCTAAATCGTATTCCCCTGTATCTAAAACTTCTATAGCCATTACTATAGTGTCCGTATCCCTTTTCCATCCACAACTTTTCCATATATCATAATTTTCGTAAAGATCCCATTCATCTGTATCTATGCCTTCCCTCAGTCCTCTTCTTCCAAGCCCTCTCTATCTACCAAACTTCCTCAGCTCCCACCATCTCAACACGGGATACACCAACCCAGCCCAGGCAAACCCAACGTAGTTGCCCATATCACCCCCCTCACTCCCTACCATCTTCGCAAGCGGTCCGATAAAGTAATGTTGACTCATACACAAAATTGCTCCAACCCATCCTATACAAAACGCCACCATTGCCGCAATTCCCAGCGGCATTTTCTCTTGTTTATGCCAATCACTCCATACAAACGTAGGATTCTTACGACGTCTAAATATGAACTCTTCTTCCAATGTAATGACAATCCAGAGTACAACCCAATATCCCATCAAGGATAGGAAATTGGTAAAGATCTCAGAGAGATCATTACGCCCTGCAAGTGCGCAGACGGTGAATACTACCACTCCAAATGTATTCCATAAGAATCTCGGCACCATGGCTGGATAACGGCCTAGAATTTGGAAATCAATACCACAAGAATAGGTAGGCGGTACCATATTGGCGATCAAGCCCAACGCAGCAACCACGGAGCAAAATTTGCCAAATCCACCTAGACTTTCAAAACCAGCCACTATGAGAGCACCTGTACCTGCACCTGCCGCTTCCCAAGATGGGTTATTGGCGATACCAGATGCAAGACCGGCTCCTATGACAAAAGTGAGTGTGAAGGAGAGAGAAAGACCGAGCAGGGTTGCCGCGAAAACTTTCCATCGAGAAGCAATCTTTGGATCGCAGTAGACAAAGAAATCAGCTGCTATAGGAGCATATGTGACTGCGGCGCTAAGACAAATCGAGAAGAATGAAAGCCGGTTCCCGGCAAGCGTTGCGCCTTCAACTGTAGGTTTACTATGGAGGTCAAACTTCGGACCTGCAGTTCCTGCTAAAATCAGGAGAACAAATGTTTGTGGAATCCAGGCAAATCTCTCGTAGTGATGAAATATCTTTATGCCGAATGTTGTGACAGAGAATGTCAAGATAGCTGAAACGACTATTCCAACTTCCACCGAAAGGCTACCATTTGGCGATACTGCAGATAACATTTGACCAGCTACTACTGCATCAATCATAGAATATCCTAATAAGATTACCACATTCAATATCACACAGATTTTCACTGGCCACCATCCCATTGTAAATCGGGCGCATATCTAGATACTCGGTTAGCCAATTTTCACCTCAGGGGCCGAAAAATCTCAATGTTAAAGTGGCAAATCAATGACCGCACTTGGAAAATCCAAACATCCACAGAACCTATGAATAACAATCGCGATAAAGGAAGTCACCTACCATAGTTCTATTTCCACTCCAAGGCCCCCAACCTGCCGTATATGCCACCGGCAAAATTCCTACCATTGCCCCAAAAACACTACAAAGCGTCGCATCCAAAAAGCCCAACCCATAAACACTAGCCCCAATGCTCGCTAAAGTAATATTTTGCGGCGCCGTATTGATCGAAAACCATAACACAACAATTTGTAGGAACGACAGAGTGGATTTGGTAGTTTGTTCAGCGGGAAGTACACGATGAATACCCCGCGCTTCCAGGCCAAGAAGATTTTCAATTCGTGCAGTGAGAGTAAAGAAACGGTTCTGGGGACGAGAAATCGCAGAGTCTGTAATATCGCGCGTGGGTGATATCGAGGGCGAAAGAGCGAGAGGATCGTGAGGGGATGGGAGTCCGCTTGAGGGACCTTTCTCTACATCGTAAGAGGGATCCGAGGAAGCTGTTTGCTCGTTGGGAGTCATTCTATTGTTGCGATTGTTGAATTAACAATTATCTCTCTTGCCTTTGCTTTCGCAGATTTATAATGCAAGAGTGAAAGGAACAGCATTTCTCATTGGAAGTATAGAGAAAATATAGGAACAGAACATGTGTGAGAGGAGCATCAGATCCATCGATACACCAATCTCGTAACACCCTCATTTAGAATTTCCCATCCACCCCATCCATTCAATTGGTTCCAGACCGCAAATGTATCCAAAGAAAACTGTTTTGACCAACCTTTCTATATGTATATTGTGCAACTCAAGCTCATACACTTCATATTAAAACATTAAACAATAAGACCGTGAGACCGTGGGACAGACCCGTTGAACACAAATTGAAGCAACAACAGACAAAGTTCGTGTCTTACAATAATAGAACGAAAAGAACTTTTGCAGAACTACTAGACAATGATAGAAAATTCAAAAAAGAACGTGGTATTATATTATTTATTGGTATGACTCCTTTGGAAGGTCCAGAATTGATTGGAAAGGTGTACTCCGCTCTAGCTTCGTCCCTTGAAATTTTCATGAATTATCTTATCCTAACGGTAAGCTACGTGGGGCAATCAATAATGCTTATCGGTTACAGGGATGTCTCGGAATCTCTCTATCTTGTCCGAAGCTGCGGGGATGAATTCTTGGACTGGTGGTTTGGAAAGTGGTCGCGATAATATATGATCGGATAATTATAGAAGAATTGAGTATCAGGAATACATAAAACGAGATTGGATGCAGAGGATACATGTTCTTCCATGGTACTTTAATCTCATGTTGTGTGTTTCTTTCGATATTTCTGTGTTCATCAACTTCATCCCATCATTTCTTCGTCTCATCTAAACGAGGCGAGGCAAGAGGGCGAACATGTGTAGCATCCCATAACCTGTGGTTGTAGGTTGTAGACTCGAAGGTGATCTTCTCTTTTACGGATGAGGTGTATTTTCAAATATATAATGGATGAACATATCATCCCATTACATTAGATTGGACCACTTGATGGCCACGCTGTTCTTCTGTTTTGGGAGATGTGTACCAGACACTATTCCCAATATATATTTCGTGACCAATATCAAGCCAGCCCAACAAATGGGAATCCCATAACCCAAACAACACATCGACCTTCAATGAACTTTCATGCACCTTCCATCCCAACTCCCCTGTTGTCCTTGCAACTCGAAACACGTTCTTGTACTTCCAGCATCTCGTATACATGTACACATACATATCTAGTTTACGGCCTCCAGCATCAATTTCTCGAACACGGCAAGCACATAACTACCTACCTCTAACTATCTCATTCTCAGATTCGGGACGGAACGCTGCAGAAAAAAGTCTAATCTGTATCCACCCTTTTATTATCCGAGTTCCCTAAGGTCATGAACTGTTGCCAGTGGCCATGAGAACTATTTCTATACAAGAAAAAGAAAGAAAGAAAACAAAACGCCTCTAGATAACACCTTCCCAGCTCATCTCTCTACCGGGGTAAACCCAACCCTGAGTGCTGGTTTTTTCCAAAGCACCACCAATTTCGAATCCCTCTCCCAATTTAACTCCTTGCTCTTTAATTCCCAATCAAATTCCCACGCTAATCTCGCCAAAACTACCCGCATTTCCATGTACGCCAGATTAACCCCCAATCATGCTCTGGGACCCATAGAAAAGGGTTTACTTGCATCTTTGTTATCATTTTGATATCGAGAATCATAAAATGGGTGAGAAGAAGGTAGATATCTCTCAGGATGAAATTCATTGGCGTCGGCGAAATATTCTTCATTATGAGTAGCAACATAGCCAGAGACGCAGACAACCGCGCCTTAGGAACATAGTGGCCATCGATCATGGCGCCCGGACACTCACGCGGGAGACCCATTGGTACGGGTGGGTAGATGCGAAGACCTTCTTCGATTACGGCTGCAAGATATAGAAGTGCCGCTGTGGAATCGCTTGTGATATCTTCTGAAGATGTGAATGCATTGCGGATCTCTTCTTGCAGACGTCGTAGTGTTTCGGGCCTGTTAAGAAGATAGTATGTTACTCCTATAAGAAAAGTGGCAGTGGTCTCAGAGCCGGCTACAATAAGCGTATTAAATTGCGCTAGAATGAATTCGCGAGTAATCTTGGGTCCTTTTTCTTTTTCGCGTGGTAACCTTAGATGCGAGAAGAAATCGTCTCGGTCATTGTTTCCTCGCTTCATACGTCGAGTTGCTTTTTGCATTGAATTTTGGAAATGTACCTTGCTCTTTTCTTTCAAGTCTTTAGGCATAAGAATTGTTGCAATCTTTTTGAAGAATGAGTTCATGAAAAATGGGAAACGTCGAAAGATTTCCATGATAGCCATCAGATGGACGGTGCTGAGAATGAGACTGATCCACGAATGGCCTTCAGATTCGACTGCATCGAATGATTCCCCGAAAGCGAGATCACCAATGATATCAAAAGTTAACCAATTATACCACTGTGTTCTGTTAGTAGTGATTCACAGACAAGACTGTTCAGACTTACTTCTGACAAGTTCAACTCCTTCTCATCATCCTTACGTTTATGGATTTGAGAAACGAACAAGTCCATATACCGTAACCCCACTTCCTCTTGTAGCCGAAGCGCTTTCGCACTAAACGCATGAGAAAGGGATTTTCGGATTTCTCGATGGACAGCCGGATCTCTTGCTGAAACAATGCCAACGTTGGTTTCCGAACCAGTATTGTAGGCTGGCCCTTTGAGAAATAGGGCTTTCCCTTGCTTGACATGACCATGAATTTCTTGATTTTCTTAGGGAGGTGCGAAGTCTCTGTTCTCGAGTTAGTTAAGTGGTATTTCGACATGTTAATCTGGTGAACTAACAAATCGTTTGGTGCAAATCTGACAACTGGACCATATTTTTTGTGCAAGCTGATCATAGTCTTGTGGTAACTTCCAGAAGTACTGCATTTCATTAGTTTTGAGCGTGGAACAACAGAAACTGTGAAGTTTACTTATGCCAACATATTTAGCCATCTGTTATTGCAGCTAGCCTTGGGCCAGGAAATTTTGCAAGTGGATGGAAATGAAGATTGTATATCACTTTGTATGTGATGTAAGAGGCAGTCTGTTCAAGTATTAGCCATCAATACAGACAAGGCGATCTAGCTAGCCTACTATACCTCCAGCAAAAAGTAATAAATGGGAAAATATTCCAATTACACCTTTTCCTTCTTTTGATATGGTAGGAGCCATTTTTGTTCTTCAATATATCCCGAGTTTTCAGCAGGATTTTGAAGTTTCAAGTCAGGTTTCCGTTGTCAATAACTTTGACACCACTGAGGGGATTTTTTCTTATATGGACGAGTTAACATTTGGCATGCATCGGTACTTTTCTCGCATCGCATACCACCGAAACGAAATGGTTAATTGTGTTTTCGTATGCCTAAATTTTTGGTGCGAGGACCCCAGTATCCACCAAATTCTAAGATACGCGATGCGATATCTTGCTCTAGAAATTCTGCCATCATTGGCCAAAGATAGAAGAAACTATTTTGCACTGCTCTTTTGTCTAGCAACTGTGTCTAGGAATTATAAAACGAGATGCATATTCCCAGCTTGCCAATTACTCTTATCCAATTACAAAAAAGAGATATGGAACGACATTTGATCCGGGAAATACCCGAAATGTCCGATAATCGTATTCGCTATATCGCATTCGCATTAGGACGCAAATGATCGAGGGGAACCTCGTTTCGTGATGAATATAAAACAAAAGGTAGTTCTAAAGAATATCTTCAAATCACGACTTCCAAGGTAAAATGTGATGAAGATCTTCGAGATATGATTGTAACTCTTTTCGCTCTTGAATGTTCAGTGGAAGTTGCGCAAATTGACTAATTATTGGCTGTTTCGTTCTGTCTGTGTTAACAGTTCACTCTCTATCGATACTTGCTCATCATTGATTTATTGGATCTATTCGCACTGTTGTATGTTCTCGAGTGTAGGTCTTTCTCCATGATTGAACACCACACACTTACTCGATTTCAAGCTCACTGGTAGGAATGTTTTGAAAGCTAGAAGAACTCTCACATAGTCATTCTTAGCATGATTTGGAAATATATGGTGATTAAATCACTCCTGGCATCTACGAGACTCACCCTGAGGTCAAGATTGATTCTGTATATGTCAATCTCAAAGAACTATAGGGAGAACTTATACCGATTGATTCAACCCCGAGTTACTTGGAAGTGTTTCCTTTTCAAAGAAAATTCAAAGCGAAGAAATCAATCCTGAGACAAAGATTTGCCCATGGAAAGATAAAAGAACCTGTCCGAACCATAGGAAGTTGTAAATCACGGCCAATGAACGCCGAATTAATCGTCGCGAAGATACTAGGTACTGAGAAAACTCAAAGCAATTATAAGAAGTATCGTGACAAGAGTCCAGAAGTGAATCACATAAGGAAGCCAACGTCTATGTAGGTATATTTCCCGGAAAAGACACAAAACCAAGCACGTATTTTGCGGGGATGTATTAGGTAAGAATCTTTGCGTGAAACATGAATTCATCATTTGCCAAACTACGAAACCAGCCTCGGCGTAGACGCTCAAAATTTCATTTTGATGTGTGATCTATTCGAATGATCACGTGGTACTACCATGAATAATGCGTCCTCAACCCACGCCGAGTTTCAAGATCAGACGAAGCGCAGCAGGAGCCAAGTTAATTATTGTGAGATTATTAGAGGGAGATCAGTCCACGGTATAATCGGATCCGAACATTGAAGCATAATCCCAATAGCCCACTAGGGTTATTTTAAGATTCAAGCTTTCACGGATTGTAGATCAAGCGCGTGGATATTATGCTTTAGATGTCTAGAGGAGGATAAACCCCGATTCTCTTCGCGATCCGAAAGACAGGGGGTCGTTCATCTAAGTTGTTAGCTCATAACTAGTGGTAGTAGTTACTCCAACAATTGTTGAAAGCGGCAATTATTCTCATCTCATTTGTGTGTCTTTTTTCACACCGAAATGGCTTTCAAAGCCACTTTTAGTCCGAGCAAGTGTGTCTTAATTTCGGTGGTTCTGCTTCCAGCCCCTCTGAAAGCCCATTGCTGCTATTGACACCGGGGTACGGAATATGAAGGTATCCGTAAAGACGAAGCCCCAGGGGTTTTCGAGAGTTATTTCCCTTCTAAGCCGAAATTCGAAGCTAATGTCGTATCTTCCTGTGCCTTTCGTTGTCATCCTTCCAATCACCCTATTCATTCATTGTTGGCGATACTGATTGGATTGGTAAGTCGTATTGTTTGTGATGTTGTCAGACCATTAACGATCTGTAGGTATGCGATTGAGCAAACAAGAACCGGACAGATGCATTGAAAAATCTACAGAGGTATGAAAAGATCCTTGAATCAGATCATTGGTTCAAGGCAAGGCTTAGTAAAGAAGGCGCATGTAAGCTTCTGCCAAGATTCGTCTAAAAGCTTAACTTTGTGGCTTCATCTGGCTTCCTCTTTTTTCTTCTAGCTGACGCGGCCTAGCAAGGGGCAATAGAGCACACGAGTCGAGGAAAGGGATGTGGATTTATTGGTGGTGTATCTTTCTAGGATGAACTCCCGTTTTCGTAAGCAGTTGGTGGAAGAAAAAGAAAACGGTAGATGAAAATAGCTTTGGATTCCTTGATCCAGGGGCTGATGGGGGGTTTAGTCGTATGGATGGCACAATAAATACCCCAACCAACCAACTCTCTTCTGTGACCTACTTTGTTTTTTCATTGCAGGCTTGAACGTACAACACCAACATGACAACATCATCAGATGGCGGCTAATCGAGTTCAACCTTGTTGCCTTTACGGATATCGGATGCATCCACCCAGCTCTTCCCCAGGTATGAACTCTTTTGAGTAATGATTAACATTCTCTTTTCCTCGCCTTGCATTCTTTCTCCATCTCTCAAAGCATAGGCAAAATCCAATTCTCTTGGTATTCCAATAAAAGTGACGAGAGACCACGCCATTCTCACCATCCTAACCCTGGATCAGTGTGAAACCTCTGGGAATTCCAGCAAGCCGTATGCTGCGTACGCACTAAAGTGACCTGAGCTTTTTATCAGAGTATTGCTTGCGAGATATTGATATTGAATCCTCGGTCGCAAGCAAATGGGATACTACGATGTAATAAATCAAGAGTTTGCCGTTGTCATCAAGCTACCTGTGAATATAGTGTAAATTAGATGAATAAATAAATAGATGAATAGATGAATAGATGAATAGATGAATAGATAGGAATCCGTATCCATTGAATTACTAGGTATTAGTTGTTTTGTCTGACGACCGCCGTCTAATGACCTATCGGAAAACTCTAGACACCATCTATCAGGTACCAGACTTTTGATTCTAGATTTTGAAGTAACCTTTCCACTTCAAACAGCACCAAGCGCCAATTTCTTGCCAGCTTTATCCCTCAAATCCCTCATCTACTAATAAAACAATAATAACTGTGGCTACCTAGGTACTCCAGCTGTGCGGTAAATACATCTTAAAGCATATTTTAGGGGCTGAGGCTTGAACCCACGACGACTGTCCGATTCATCCAATAATCATTCAATATTTCTCTTTCCCTTTACTTTAATTCATTCTAAGCGGCGAATTGAACAAACAAATATACATGCTTCCTCCTCACGCCGCCTTAGTATCTCCATATCTTAACATTTAAGTTAATCTGTTTTGCTTGATCACATTTTATAGAAAAACTACCAAACATCCGTCTCCACTCAATTGCTTCTTGGAATATATCCCTTGTCTTGAGTGACGAGTACCAAAGGAGTACTTGATCGTGTGCTTCCCCACGTCTCTTTTTTTCATTTTCCTTTTCCTTGAATCAATATTCATTTCACCTCATTCTCCATTTCAATCTTGTCATTTTCGGCATTTTACCTTGGTACTCTCTATCTCTCTCTATCTCTCTCTATTCTCCCTCTATTCTCCCTCTCCATCTCTTGTACCTCTTTGCTTTACATACAACAGCAGCATTCGAATTTCTTCTCTCCATATACATACACAATTGAGAAGACGATCGATCATATATCCCTTGGCACATCCTTTCATCCACAATTTACAAAAGCCGCGCCAAGACGGTTGTTTAACCCTGTCGAAATTACTCTCTTGTAAGCTGATCAGCATATCGCGATAATCGAAAATGCGCATTTCGTGGATCATCACTTTATCGGGACTTTTGTCCATTGTGTCGGCGCTGGCAATTCAAAAACGAGATGCCGACTTTTACAGTGTGCGCACAAAGTTACACAAGGACATGAGCGGAAGGAAAGGTGATCCAAGCGGGAAATATTTTCGTAAGTTCTTGTTTCCTTCTCAAAGACAGTTTGTCGTGGCGGAACTTGCGACTTTGGACCTGTCCGAATGGTCCGGTCCTGGATTATTATTAGAGTTTATGTTGAGTTGAAACCCAGCTAACGCCTCACAGATGAGAGTGTGTACGTATTTTTACCATTCGATTAGAATGCAAGATCGAGGGGTTTCAAAGTAAATCTGGAATTCAATGCTAACATGGCGAGGTTAATAGCTTCCATCCGCATTACGACGGCCGGTATGTAATTTTCCAAGGGATTCTTGCTACGTACACAATGACGGAACCTAATATCATTCGTGCAGATTCGCCGACAAGCAATTGGGCTATAGAGAACGCAGACAAGCACTTTCGAATCTCATCCAAACCTACCTAGCTACTTTCTCAGATATTGGAGTGGAAACATGGCTCATGCACGGTACTTTACTCGGCTGGTGGTGGAATCGTAAGGTAGGGACGACACTGCAAATGTGCCGATTTCTTCACACAATCTCACAATTTTTAGATTCTACCATGGGATTCCGACTCCGATGTCCAAGTTTCCGAAGATTCGATGCACTTTCTCGCCTCTTACTACAATATGACCGTCTTTCACTATAAAACTCCACGCATTCCAGAAGGCCGAGATTATATGCTAGAGGTTAACCCTCATTATGTTAATAGGGAGCAATCGGACAAATTGAATGTCATTGATGCACGATGGGTCGATACTACGAGTGGCTTATTCATTGATATCACAACTGCCAGATACAATTATACACATCCTGCCGGAGAGGGAATGATGAGCTGCAAGGATGGTCATGAATACAGGGTAATTCTTTTGGGAGCATGGTTAGCTGGATTGCGCTAATAATCTTAGGATACCTACATCTTTCCATTGCGAGAC